GGCCAGGGGCTGCAAAATGAGATGGAGACAAAATAGTGATAAAATTATTAGAAATGAGAGGTAAGAAAAAGGATTAAATAAGAGGTAAGTCAGTACACACGGGCCTCTGCTGTTTTCATGTAGAGAGACTTGCTGAAGATCCCAATGCCGCGCCTGTCTTCTGCTGCCACCTAGAGGGAGGAAGAGAGAACTACTGAAAGATTTTTTACTGAAATGGCTTGCACCCAACTGCCACTCCAGTGGCTTATAGCCAACAATCATTCAATAGAACCAGGTTCATATGTCTGCAAACAAATTGTCTGGTAATTTTCCCTGTATAGTGGACTGGCTGAGGGCGCGAGGCTTTCTGTGACCGGCAGCCTCGGGTACGAATCGCATGTAGTTTGTGAAGATTCTCGGGTTTCTGGCCAACCTCGTGTTTTTGTTGGCATGACGAAAGCAGGTCAAATTTTTCATTTGATGATAAAAAGGAAGGATTCTAAATATGATGTATTTTGCTTTGGATTGTGTTCAAAATAGTTTGGGGTACATGGGATATGCTGCATGGAGAATAATAGGAAAATTGCAGGAAACAAACTGGGTGAGTTTTAGATTTAAAAGGAAATCACCATCTTTACCATTCAGTCTTACCTTGATGTTATAGGTGGATCCGGGGGTAAGGGTGTTGAGGAGGAATTCTGGGATTTCAGAGTTGGTCAGCGTCTGGGTGAATGTGGATTCGGGATAAGGACACACCTCTTTGTATTTAATGGCATAGGACAGAATCTGTCCATTGGAAGTGGAGGGAGGCGTCCAGGACAGCAGGATGCCAGTGGATCCCACCCTCTCCCCTTCCAAATTGGTCGGAGGGCCCAAGACTTCGGAAACACAGAGACACATTGCAGGGATAAACACATGATGGCAATTCCATTTTGGAGAAAAACAAACTCTCAGTTTCCTCTCTGGATGGATGCAGAACATCTCTGATAATACAAGTATAACAATCAGTAACATCAATTTGTCACTTGGCGTTACAGCTGAAAGAAAATATTTATCACATATTTTAACTGCCAATAAAATGTTCTTATTTGGCGGCATGATTTCTTTTTCTTGTTTCCACTGATTATATACATTTTTTTGGGGAAAAAATGAAATGTAGAATATCATCAGCATGTTTTTTGTTCTAAAATACCAGCTGCATTTTTAAAGTCTGGCTGAAATCAAGTATAAGTATAAGGAGAGTGCCCAGGAAAATTGAGTTCCACACATCCCAGGACTTACTTGACTCATTGACAGTGAGGATTCGACTAGCAGTGGCAGGGCTCAGCGTCGATACGTAAACATTCCCTGTGGTCACACTCCCCACAGCCGCCTTTATATCCCAGCACAAAAAAACAAGGGCTCAGTCAGCCACGGGGGCTCACCCCTGTTATCAAAGCCCCCAACTCCCTAAACTGAAACCTATGCTCTGAAGTTCTGTGGATGGCTGAGGCCCAGGGCTTAACAGGGAAGAGAGGCGACATACCTGAGCGTGGACGCTGTCCAGGCACAGAGCGACAGCCAAGATGAGGACAGGAAGCATCACTGGCGGCCTGCTGGTCTCATGAGGAAGATCGACTGGACGGTGCAGCTCCTCTAGAGCCAGGCAAATTGAGGAGAGGTGGACCACATTAAACATTTAAGGGTGGCTCTACTGGAGAGCTCTGTAATAAATCATGAGCCCCATGACTCAATCCCAACAGCCCTTCCTTCCTTCCGCCGTCGCTCACCATGGCACCTGACACCTACCAGCCACAGGCAGTTGGAGAGGGAGGTTTTTAAGTGGGATTAGGGTGGAGGTGGTCACTCTGGCGTAGGTGCTACTACTCAGCACTGTAGTGGTGCCATGAATGTCGGCGTTCCCATGAATCTGCATCAGCAGGTGAAGGTTCAGTGCTACCAGTGAAGTTCTCAGAGAAGATCCCAGTAGGTATTATAGGATTAGAGAATTGTTAAGGAAGAGAGTCTTTTAGTGTTTATGAAGAGGACTCTTGACTATAATCCAAGCCACAGAAATCTTGTAGCACAAATCTGAAGAAAGGTAACAGTATCTGTGGACAGAACATGGAGGGAAGCCTAAATGTAGGTGAGAGATGGGACACATGCTACAGAGAGGATGCTGCTCCTTGCCAGGGAAAGGGAATGTATCTGCACCAGTATCTCTCCAGCATCTAGACAGGGGACGGTATCCTGACCTTCCTCCTTTGATCAATTATGTACCTCACTTGTACAGTGCTTCAGATAAAAACTTTTGCTATATAAATAAATGTAAATGTGGCTCAAAGGAGCACAGAACAAAGCAGGATAACAGACAGAGACCTACATTCCCAGAAGGTTTCTAGCGATTTCTCAAACACCTGATAGCAAACAAAAAACCAGGCTACGTACCAGATCTCTGTGCAAAATGAACTTATTTCAAGTCATTCTCAAGATCCGTTTGAATTTTTTCCCAAGCATCTCAGAATTCTCGATTAAATCACCGATAATAAGCTAAAAACGTCCGGCATTTAATGGCTTCCCATATTGGGGTAATTTGCTTTCATCTGGGTAGAAAATAAAAGTGGATTATTGATAGCGTGACTCTACGCAATGGGTCAGACTACAATATTATAAGAGGTTTGTGAACATGCTCAAAACTGCTGTGGTCAAACATGACCCAGTGAATTACTTAACAATTAGGTGAGCTGCCTTAAGCACGGAGAATTAATATTTTAACAGCGAACATGAAAAATGAGCAGTAAATTATTTAGCAGACACCACATGAAACACATGGCTAACTCATAAGTAGACAGGCGTGATTTTGCTTTTTCTAAGATGTTCTTTGAAGGTGAAGCGCAAAGCGTGGAGTCGGCGCTGCCGGTCCCTTGCCGTGGGCCCCTGGCTGCTCTCACTCGACATTTCATCATGCATATTTTACACGGCCGGCAACACAATCTGACTCAAACCGTTCCTCTCTGCCAGGCTACTTCTCTGATGATGTGCCCACCATGAAAGTTTAAATAAGTGACCCCGCCGACACCATAAAAGGGCCACTTCGCTGGGGCGCAGAGAAGCGTAAGGTGAGACGCACGTGCGGAGGCTGCACCGGGGGGGGTTGGCGCATTCAACAAGAAGATGAGGGGTGCTCGGGAGCACCATAGATCAAGATCAGATTGCGCGTTATGGACTGCGATGAGGTACGTGTGGTTCAGCGTGCTAGGATGCAGTGCCTGTGATCGGAAGGTTAGTGGTTCAAATCTCAGGGTTGGCAGAGTGATGTCACCATTGGGCCCTTGAGCATGGCCTTTAACCCCATTTGCTCCCGGACAGAGATGGGGGGGCATTTGGCTTCATTCATCCCCCCCGAAATATATACAGACGCTCCTCTACTTACGAACTTTCAGACATTCGAACAAAGAGGACTGCAAGTCCAAATTGTGTTCGTTGGGGTCCCGTTTCCTGTCCGCAGCATCAATTTTTTTTCTTTGCCCCAATTCCGCCTAGTTCCTTCTGGCTGCTATTCCCGCCGCGCAGCAGCGTAGCGTGCGTACTCCCAGCATCCACGTTCTTTGTACTTTAGTATACCCTTAAAACAATTTTGAAAAACGACTTACGAACATTTCAAGTTACGAACGGCCATGTAGAACATATCTCGTTCGTAAGTAGAGGAGCGTCTGTACCTTTGCATTCAAATTATTAAGTTGCCCCCCCCTCCCAATAACAAACTCTCTCTTCCACCTTTACTGCTGGGACTCGCTGCCACTGCTTTCACGTCATCACTTTGGATTAAAGCTTCTGCTACATAAATGTAAATGTTCCTGGCTTGTATGACAGCAAGTGACACAGCAGTCGTGCACCTTCCTGCATAAGCAGTGCTGATTTGTAAACTCTATTACTTCACAGCAATGAATTCATTGCCTCTCCCTGCTGCAGCGAGTTACCATCTCCCACATTTACCAGCGGCAGGATGCTGGAAGAGATGGAGCAAGGCACCGCGTGGGGGCCAGCTTGGCATGGGGGGGGAACCACAGGACGCACATGGCCGGTAGAGTTCCATAGGAGGCTTCGTATGGGGTTTATGGAAGGTCTTGGAATGAGGAGGGTTTCTGCAAGAGCTTCGGGAGGTCATTTTGGGTCATTACGTACCACTCACACGTATTGGGCTTATCTGAAACCACACCAATATTGTTCAAAGCAGGGATCCGTTTTCATGTTAAAGGGCCGACAGGCAAAACGGAGGCCAGGCTAACTTTTTATTTTCAAAAGGATTCCACCTGTCATCTACACACAAACTTGCTCTACATTTTAAGCACAACCCAAACCAAAGGATTTATTTATTCATTAAAAAGTGGAACTGGAAGACACCACTGCATGCATTTCGCGTACTGATTGAAGAAAGCCAGATGGTATTTTATTAGCTAATTATCAACCTATTTCCCAAGCTTAACGTAGGAAAATGCTCCAGATATACACAGTAAGAACCATAAAAAAAAAGAGTGACAACAGGGTCTGCACATCAACTCAATGAGCTGAAAAATCTGCATACATCATCAGTAATGGGAAACACCTGTACTCTCATCGGACCAACGACCTCATACTCAGATTTAGTATCAGCGAAGAAGTGAGTGGAGTTGGGGGTGGTGGTCTTGCAACCTAAGCACTTTAGCTCTGATCTGGGCTGATTCATTGCTGTCAGAACAGTCGAAATTAATAACACTTCATCATTGTGGAATGAACACTGAATCTAAAACTGGACCCAGTAACTCTTACTTCAGGATTAAAACAATAATATTAAACACTAAAGAGAAGTGACTGTAATCTCGAAAAAATATGAACACTGCTCAGAAAAATTTAATTGGGTGGATTTTTTTTAGATTTTTTTTTTGTTTGCAAAATATGTACTTGAAAAGGATTCCAGGCACTTGTGTCTTAATTCTTCAAAACACTGAAAATATATTTTAAAAGACTTGACAGCTTCAAAAACCATTGAAATCATGATTAAATGTTTTATTGCCTTGTTTTTAGTAGTGGCTTTTCTCGCCAACATTGTTCAACAAGATGTGTGGGATGATAAAACAAAATGAGGTATGTGTCACTACAGGGCTTTTAAACTTAACATTTTTCAAAGAACTTTGAACACTTTCAAAATAATTATGAGGAATTTCACTGAAAGAGGCTGAAAAATTGTGATGTCATAGACATTTTAGTAGATTGGACAATTAGATACAAAACAATGTATTTAAAATAACATGCTATTTTACAAGTAATTACCTTTAAAAAAGTTTCTAAAAGCTCACAAAATAGCTTTAAAAATATTTCTGCATCATCAATTAAGGCATTAATATACTAAATATTACATACTAAATTAAATTAAAATAGAAAACAAAAGAATAAAACATAATCTGTAACATAAAGCAATCAATATGATTTTATGGCTAAATAACATGTTTGTGAGCCTACATTTGTAATTGTCATAACTGTGTCGTAACATTTAATCTAAGAGGAAACCTCATTGTTATTGAAACTCAAGTGCTCCAATGGCAGACTCTCTGGTCCCTTCACAAGCCCCGACCCCTGACTAGTTCCACTGGCAGGAACACTCCAAGGGCTCCTGGAAGGTGTAGCTGACCAGGGTGCTGTTGCGCGTGCAGTACAGCTGCACTGTGCGGCTCTGCAGGGTGTTCTCCCGGCAGCATTTGCAGAAACGCGCGTGGCTGTTGATGTTGAAGTTGAAGATGGTGGCAGAGGGGCACTTGCCATCACAGGAGTACACAGTGATCTGCAGGAAAGGCAGAGGGAGAGACACTGCATTTTCACTGCCACTGGCGCCTAAACGATCAGCATAAGCTCGAAGTGGCTCCACTGTGTGTTTGAGTATTTCAAGGATGGGATTTGTTGCACACAATAGCATCCCACATCCAGGCTGCTCCACACACTCTGCATGCATGTCGACCTGAAGACTCACTGGGGCACTACTCCGACAGTCGTCCTTCCTGATGGTTGTTCTGATTGCCACCCTTTTGCAGGTCTTACCATCCTCTTTACCTGGTAATACGGAGAAAAAAGAAGCATTTTATTTCTTGCCAATTTTTGTCATTTAAAAATCTGAATTCCTATTTTAATAGCAAACATTTTACACATCCGACAGTGATCTGGTCATTAACCGCCATGGATAGAAAATAGCGTATGAATAAATTTCTGTGGAATTCATTTTGGCTTTTCTTTTGGGTCATTTGTTAAGTTGATGTTTTTTAATAGTTCTTTAATATTGTTAAATATTAAATTTAAAAATTACAAATTCAAGGTTAAATATGGCACAAAGTATGTGATCATTCCCTTAATTTCAATATATCTATGACTGAGAAAATTATAGGATAACAAATTCAATACTTAATACAATGTTACTTGTTACTTTTTATTAGTACAATAATAGTTGAAAATGCATCTCTTGGGTCCATGTCATAGTCACAAGCTGAGGTCCTTACCTTGGCATCTACTAGAATGTCGCTATTTATCAGGAAACGGGCTTGGGTCTGACAAGCCAGTTTGGAAAAAAGACAGACTTTCCTGACCACAGCTTATCCCAACAAAAGCAGACACAAGATCACAGTGACAGAGGAAGCGGTGAGACTTACAGGAGAAGGACGACATTTAAGCTGAGAAGTCAAGAACATGTTTAACCATTTGGTCTGAAGGGGATGGATTTATCGGCATTACAGGTAGAAAAAACCATCCCAGGTCATGGTAAATATGCAGCAAGACCCACAGCTACATTTGCGCAGTAATCGACAGGACATAGCTAATACATGCTGTCTGATACAGGCTGTATCAGCTGATGTGAGCCTGTCTGTCCTGTACCAAGCACCGGTCATCCGCAGTCGAGTTAAATTTGCCGCGGTTGGCAGTGCTGAATTTCATCAGCCAGTGTAAATATGGAAACACAGATTGGCTCTCGGTGCTAAGCCTGAATGTTCACTGGCTATAGGGAAGTACAGGGAACAAACGAGAGACCAAATTCCCCCTGGAGTTCAATGGAAGCAAGAGCGTGGAAGATACAGAAATAAAGTACAAAAGGAAGGTAAGTACCTGTGTCACAATTAGTACTACCAGTTGGAGTTATTGGGCTAATGGTAAATGGTAATATACCCAGTCCAGAACCTGGTAGAATCGTCAGGAACAGCAGTGTTTCAGAAAAACAAGGGAACGTTTCATTAAGGCACAGTTTTCAAAAATCACCTCATCCCTGCATGCGTTAGATGACAATTAATGAAAAGTGCGGAAGCTGGTCTCAGGCCCGGGTCATTAGCGGGCCTCGTCATTCATTAGAAAGCACATGCTTCAGGTCGGCCAGGCAGTCGTCAGAACATTGCACACTGAACCCACCAAGCAGCACTCAAGGCTGACATAAACGCGGCTAGGGTAAGCAGCTAGCACTGTGCTCATGCACGTCGTTGGCATGACAACAGCAATGAACAACAAAGAAGCAAGCTAACACTTAACATTCAAAAAGCATTGCTGCGCGTTCATAGCAATGTGACAGCAGCGCTACAACGTTGCAGGAATGTTTGGAGAATGTTATGAGTTAGCTGGGGTGATTTTTTTTTTTCCCCCCAAAATTAGCAAATTGCATGGCTGGGCCATAGCAGACATGGTTTTCTGTTGCAAATTTGTTTTCAGGTCCAAACAGGGGATCAGAATTTTTAAAATAATCAAATTATGATTTTATTCTGCAGTGCTTAACGTGTAATTTCAGAAAAGTAAAACTGCAGAAAAATAAAACTTTATTATCTGTTATATATGTAATAATTATTGATTATTTTTACCATTCTTGCATTACCATCACACATTATATATGCGTTATACATAATTAATTTGTACTTGATAGCTTCTTTTAACAAACGTAAATATTTTTACATATATTAGAAATTTTGTGAGAGTTACCAACGTGACCATTTAATAATATTCAAACTAAGAGTGACCAGTTCTTACTAGGAAAAGTGGTTTGCCTGAAGTGATATAAAAGTCTTGGTTGTGGAATTTTAAATGAGATCTCGCCCAATAGTGTTATTTTAATGTTATTTGTTGTTAAGTGGATTATAGTAAGTTAAACATATGATATTGTTTCTATTAGATGAATAACCAAGAATTTTACACCATCAACTCCCTCTCTGAGTCGAATGTTAGATCTACAAAAACAGACTGATAAAAAGGTGTAACTGAAGCCAAAGGCCTGTGCAGTAGTGGGGTGGAAACTGTGACAGTTACACTCCACAACACCAGGGGGCAGTCTAATCACAGGCATTTACCAGCAGCCACCAGTAAGCCACATTGCTGCCAGGCCACATGCCTCCTTTGATTGGGGGCACCACATGCTCTGTCCACAACTGCAGCCCACCGTGCTCAAGAACCAGAAAAGCCAGACAAGCAAGAACTCTGCCCCCCCCGGGGCACTTACAGGTCTTGCAGCAGCCGTCAATATAGTTCTGTACTGTGCCCCCGTTCTGCAATCAGACAACAGAGGACAGCATGAAGAGAGATGCCTTCAGGACATAAAGCTTACCCTCCTGTAAGATGTTTTGTTCTTGCACTCTGGAGAAGGTCTTTAACCAGATCTGCTTATTAGCATACATGTACCCCACAGCACACAAATTGCTCTGAATAAATCATTGGCTAAAAAATAAATGTTAACAGCAAATTCCTTTCAGCACCAATTAGATTTCAGATCACTTTAAGGTTGAGATATACAGTTACATCAATAGAAGCTCTGTAGATGTGCATGTTTCCCATGAATCACTGGGATGCTGCTTGAAGATCATTGATGGATTCTGTGATGAGTCTGGATGCTGGGGTGCAGCATACAGACCTGGACACATTCAGTGTCGTTGAAAGGTGGACAAACGACCACGGAGCCCAGTGTCACAGCTCCGACGGCCGTCTCCACACAGTCGAACCGAGTACAGTTTGTCACCCACGAGCTCCCAGCCTGCAAGTCACATGGTCATGAAGTCACACGATCACACTCCTCAACCATAACTCTCCTAAGTAGTGACTATGATCGGCCGCACGCATTTTCTACACTCTTGATTAATACCAACCCAGTAAGCAAAGGTGGAAAGTTCAGGTTCAGAAAGTAAAAATCCAGACAAAGATTTTGTTTCAGTCAACCAGTTGAGTACTCTGTGAATGTGACTCTTTATACTCAACTGATTTGGTGAAACAAAGTCTTGGTCTGGATTTGTACTTTCTGAACCTGAACTTTCCATCACTGCTAGTTAGGAGGAAAATCACAGAGGGATAATATGTTGCAGTTACAAAAGTATGTTTGAAAGCGACCAGAAGACAGTCCTCTTACCGTGTAGACCTCCATGGTGCTGTTCTCACTGGTGTAGATGCATGACACATTTTTGCAAGAACCACAGCAAACATGTGGGTCTGAGGAAGGGATATATATTTGGTGCTGTGGACCAAAGAAAAGAGTTTAAAGAATGTCTTATTCATAGACAGAATAACGTAATTTAATGTAATTTAATTAATTAAAGCAATAGCAACAACTTTTAATAATTTGAAGGATGAAACAGCAAATTATAGCTAAAACAGTGCAATAATAAGTGGTTTATGAATGGCTAATGAAAGACCATTTTTATGACACCTACAGGCCCACATTTCTCAGAGCAGTTGACAGTTGATACATCCATCGCATAAAAGCCTGTATCAGGGTCCTTGTCCTGTAGGCAGTGCACCGTGTAGCAAAGGTCCCCATCGAAGTACTGCACCATGGACTGCCCCGGACTCAGCACTGTTACCCCCTGAAAGAGGCACACCTCTGCCTTCCCTGCGGGGGGCAGTGACAGGTTACTACCCTAGGGGGAGGCTTACAAGGCAGAGTACTGATATAGAGAGGGTATACACAGGAGAGGCTGGTTATTGATGTAGAGAGGGTATATAGAAGAGAGACTGGGTACTGACATAGACAGGGTATATACAGGAGAGACTGGTTACTGATATGGAGAGGGTACAGGAGAAAGCACTGAAAGGAGGTGAGAAAATGAGAGACCTCTATATATTGAATGACAATGAGGAGTTAATATTACATTATTATGACCTCAACTGATGAGACAACCTTGAATTACAAAATAGCTATTTTAAGTTGTATGACCATTGATTGTTGATGGTCTGATAGATCAGATATTTTCTCATTTTGTCCTTTGCGTGGAACTTACTACAGATGTACTGAGTGCAGCCACAAGTGCTGTCAGTGTTTGGGTCCAGGGTCTGAATTTCACCCTAAGTGCAGAGAGCGAATAACGTCAGGACACACAAGTTGCCTTAAGGCACCATGTCTGTCCTTCTGACAACACATGTATATGACAGGTAAAAGCTGCCACTTCAACACATTAAGTAAAATACATGGGGACCAAGCAGTGGCCAATAGACCCAGTGAGACTTACCACCTGGCACAGTGGGGAGGAGTTATTGAGACACTGGCACTCTGTGGAGGTCAAAGCAAACTTAATTAGCCCTTAAATATATGATATTTCCAAAGCTGTGAGGTTTGACCAATCATAACTTAGAAACTGGATAAAGAAAGTTGTAACACACAACGCAGGGTGTAACTTAGCCAAATAGTATAATTACAAGTTTGAACCCCTCTCGAAATTTGTTTCTAGATATCTACCAATGGGGACGCCCCCCCTCCAGGTGGGATAAATCTATGGGGAGGGACATATGTTAATTTCTGGCTATGGACCTGGTGTAACTGACAAGCCCTCAGGACAAGGAAGGTTCCCTGTTATACTGTCGAATTCCATGTAAATGTCTTGCTGTGTATGGTGTCCTTCCCTCTTTCCCAGCCAAAGCCCTCTTTAGAAGAGTGGCTTTAGATTTTAGATTTCGTACCACATTGCCAGTCCGGGCAGCAACTCCCCGGGACGCTTTTCCTGACCATGGACGTCCCGCTGGCACACTCCAGCGTGGAGGGGGGGCACAAGCTCTCGTCGCACACTGCAAAAGAACCTCACATGTCATCTCGTCACCTTCACAGATCCTGGAATTCCTCGTTTCCCTTTGCCACCCCATGCACTTGGCTGAACCTCTACTCCTGTTCAATCCTCCAACCATTTCCTAGAATATAAACTAGTTCATATCATATTCAAGATGCATTATCGGTTCAGCGTGAACTTGGATACAGTGGTCACGGAGCCTCATACCGCAGTGGTACTGAGGGCAGCACCGGTCCGTGGTGTTGAGATCCACAGCCAGAATCTCTCCATCTTTACACAATGGGATGGGATCAATGCAGGACTCGCACACTGAAAACACACCAAGTCACCCTGAGCACATCAATAACTCAAGCAGCAAGAAATATCAAAATGTCTAAATATAAATGATTCATTTTTAAGTACTCTGGAACAAAATAAATGGGGTATATTTCAACACCACGTGACATGACATGAGTGTCCACAAATGATGACATCAGTAATACAAAGACTGGTTTGCTCTTACCACACAGGAAGGAGAAGCAGCAGGACTTTTCAGCTCTGACTTCCACCAAGAACTGGTCATCCCTGCACTCCGGCATGAGAACTGAGGGACAGGCCTGGGGATCACAGTCTGGGGACGGACAAGTCAGGTGGATGTGGGGAGTCACATGACCATACGAGGATCCCGACAACCGTGAGATTTTGGACATACTGTAAAGCAAGAGTCACAGCCAATGTGACACTGACCACATCTGTACTCAGGGCAGCAGGACAGGGTGCTGTATCCAATCATCAGTTTGTTCCCGTTCTCGCAAGTTGGCACCTCACTCTCACAGATGGTCAGGTTGCATTCTGTAAAGAAGGAAACCAAAATTTTCAAGAAGATGCACAGGAAACGATACAATATGAGATGAGGAGAGAAGCCTGGTCCTAATACTCACCGCAGATCTTTTTTGGGCAGCAGGCCCCCTCCTCCACCACATCGACGACAAACTCGCCTTCCCGCTCACAGAGGGGGGCTGGCATGTCACTGCAGTCGGGCTCTACTGCTGTGATGCTGCCGTTTTCCATGCAGCGGTACAGGCAGCAGCCCTTGTTCGATCCGTTCCACACCTCCCCCACCGCACGGGGGACCCCATCGTTGTCCGTGCAAACTAAAGGGTGGAGAACATGCTACGAATCACAAGAAAGGCATGTTGCCTGATCACGATTATCCTCAAAGAGCCCAAAAAGGAACCTGACGTGTCCACCATTTCATTTTCTCCATCTCATTTCCTCACCACCTTGTAACCAATGTATCCTTCTTAATGTCCTGAGACAAGAACATAATGATACACGAGAGAAGAAAAGCTGAAATCTACACAAGGAGGAAGGTGTGACTCCGGACTCAATATCTGTATTTTTTCACCAAGTCTAAAGCATCAACGCTGGGTCGGCCAAACCCTAAGGGGACCCTTGTGGCATCACTCACCGCATCTGTCCTCGGTGACACAGAACGCAGAGTCGGCCCGGTGTAGGATGGTCCCGCTCTTGCACACACACTCTTCCCGGATGGAGGAGCAGGTGGATTCCTCGTAGAAGTCCCGGTTCTGGCAGGTTTTGGTCTTGCATGTGTTCACGCATGGATGGTACTCTTTACCTGGGGGGCACTTTAGGGCTTTTGACAGAGAAAACAGATACCATCATCAGACCAGCTCCCACAGGTATCCTGTCTAGCTTTGTAGTCATGAGTCCTCCTTGCTGAACCGTTATCCCCTGGCGGTCCAAGACTCAGAAGCCTTCTGACAATAGTTCTGCTAAATGAATATCACTTACGGCAGAAGTCGTGAGTCCTCCAGCTGATGCAGATGTTGTGTGTATAACAGATGGCTACATATGCAGCAAGGAAGTCACACTCGTGGTCTTTATAATGTAGGTCACCGGCCCAAATCTTGTCGCAAAACTGTTCTGGGGAAACCTTTGTGAGGAATGCGAAAAATAAGACCATTTGAGACAGCCGATTCCCAGATGACTTTCAGTCAGTGGTTTGATGAAATTCAGGGAAGGCCTACCTTCCTATGGCACTCAGAGAACGGCCTCCGGTTCAGCATCTGAAAGCACTTGGTGCAGTTGCCTGTGGTGCAGTTGTCTCCCACCCGGCGGAAGTAGCCCATCTCCTCAGAAGTGTCTACCATCCAACTATGCAGGAACACGGGGATATCCTCCACGTCCCTCACCACCGTGCCATTCGGGAGCTTCAGGTCATCTGCTGGGTTCCCGTCGCAGCAGCCTGCGGACCAATCATCACTGAGACCTCCATAACACTAGGGGGCGACAGCACCATCGCATGACACTGACTCAGAGGAAGGGGAAAGTACTGAGGTACTACTATAAAACTGCAAAAAATACCGATATAATGCTTTACAATCTAAGGTTTTTAAAGCCATCACGAAAATAAGCAACTACCAACGATGTTTAGTCTAACCATTTGTAACTTTTAAAGATTATTGGTTTGAGAGCACACTAGTGTGACATACTTTAAGCTCCAGGTCCTTACCACAAAGTCCACGTGTGCCAGTGGTAATGTTTGGCCGACCGCTGTACTGCAGGACTATGATTCCTGTGCTGTGGTACCATTGGATGCTGACTCCTCCAGGGGTGTGGATGACATACATAGTCCCAGTGTCATCAATGTGCAGTTTCTGCCTTGTGAAAGGCAGCCGTGCGTTGATGAAGTTGACAGACACCTTGATATCAAGCCAGGGAAGAAAATACTTGAAATGAATTGTGAAGGTTTCATAACAAAACCCCTACATGGTCTTGCCTTTGTTGGCAGATAATAAGGACCGCCTTGAAATGCTATTTAAGCATTTTGTGGGAATCTTATTTACAGTTTCTTGCTCACAGAAGGGAGTCAATCACCTTTCTCTCCAACCGATTAATCATGATCCTGTAGGAATGAGTAGTGATGTTGAGCTTCTTAAAGCAGAGCCCCAAGGTGCCACCTGTGGAGGTCTATAGACAGGAAGTCAATGGCCAACACTCATGGAAGTAAGAACAAACTTCATGCTGAAGGCGATACATGCAAACAAAAAAACAACCACTTACAGGACGTCGGATGGAGTTGACGCTCTGAAAAATAAACAAAACATGATAAATCCTTTGCTAATCCATGAAACATTAAGATTACATTACATTACAGATTACAGGCAATTGCCAGGTTCAAGGGCGTAACTTTGGCTGGAACATTGGGGGGGTCGAGGTCTCCACCCACTACAGGGGAAACATGATTATTGGGGGGGTTATATTGGCTGGATCTGATTATAACCCCCCTGGAAATTACACCCATGGCCAGGTTACGAATGAGATGTGTTTAAGTCGAATTTGTTGGTAAGTCAGGACAATAATAATAATACAATACATAATGATACTAATAATAATATAGTATTAAAAAGTAAGTACATATGGTACTGTACTATACCCAGGGACTGCCTGTACATATCCTGTTGTGAAGCGGTATGAGCGTCACACAAGGAATGCAAAATACTGAGGAATTTAGGGTAAAGCAACGTGAGCGGCGGAAACTTTCATTGACCATGTAGAAATTTAGAGTCCAATCTTACCACACTGGTTGGACACTTCTCAATGTGGCCCACAATATTTTCTCTGGGAAGATGAACCAGAATGTAGGATCCATTGTCATACAGGGCCACGTTGTTGCCATCGAAGGTAATTACTCTCAGGTCCGAAATTACTGAGCAGCGACCTGTCATTGAAAATAGGTCAACAAGTCAAATCAACAGTGGAGAATCTAATGCAAGAAGACCTTTAGTGAAGATGCCTTTTTCATGATAGCAATGATCTGCAACACTACAGGTTCAAAAATGTTAACAGGTTCAAAAGGCTCTGAACCAAAGAAAATGCATCATATCTGTACATTTGATCATTGATCATCACATAATAATGACACTGGCAATTCAATTTCTTTGGATGCAGGTTCTTACAGGGACACTCCCACTGTGGACAGCAGTTGTCCCGATTGGTCTGGACAGCCATGCCCAAAAGGCCACAGTTGGGCTGAGACACGTTGAAGCGGCAGTGCAGTGAAGCATTGTGGAACATCAGCTGGCCATTGAAGCAGATGTACTCACTGCATTCGTCCACACGATACGAATACGGTGGCTGAGAAGGGGAAAAAAAAATTACAAAATGTTCATTGCTATTACACGCTGTTCCTAACTGATTTATATGTCTAACATTCATACAATGTTGGTTTCTTTCCCAATTTTTTGGTGTTCTACTGCATACCACACCAGAATCTGAAATGTGTTTTCATCAAGAATCTGAGCCCTCCTTGTCGGATTTATTAAAAACCGTTAAGAAAATGTAGACTTGTAGAAATGTAAACCCATACCAGTGGCTGTTTACACTGAAGGATCTCCAAGTTTGTGCTTATATGATACTCCAGCTAAATTTACAACCTGGCAGCCTGGCAGCTTACATCAAAATCTGCCATCTTCACCGCCAGCCCAGAATAATGTCCGTCTTAACTAATGTTGTTTGTCTGTAACCCGACTGCCCATAATTTACAAAGAGCAGCTCTGATGGTGTTTTCTGAGTAGCGCTCCGATACCCAGCTACCACATTCCTGCCTTATCTTCGCTGGCATATCTAAGGGGCCATTTCTTTCCAAATGAGATTTATTAGATGGGGACCAGCCAGGACCCTTCAACACAGAGACCATTCTGAAGATTTACAATCAAATCCAGACGTGCCTGAAGGTTTCCAAAGCCACCTCTGCTTCGGCCATTCCTGCATTAGACATCGAAACCTGTCCATGTTGCACGAATTATGTTGTGCACCTAAAACACACTATTATAATTTAACTTGAAAATTCAACTTTTAAATTGCTGCGCCAGGTGGCCGTGTGTTTACGGAAAAGGTCAGTGTGAAACATTCCGGGTTCAAATCCCAGGAGGGGATCCTCTGATCCTGCAGCTGGATGACATTATTTTTGTTTTATTAACATTTAATCTATAATGGCTTTTATTTATTTGTCCAATCAAACCTTTCTTGGAGTAATTTATATATTACACACCTCAAGTAATAACACAGCACTAGAGCACCAGTGCCTCTCCTCTTTGTTACCTGCTGCACGCCTAATAGAAAATATTAAAAAAGCTAAAAAATACTGAGCTGCACATATTTATGTATGATGTATTTTGCCTATAAATGTATAAAACAATTCAGTATCGTCAAGATTCTATCATTGGTTATACTATTGGCCCTGTTGTAATTCCTCTGGTTTCACAGTGTGCCGTAGCTCTGTGAAAGTGTGAAGGATGCATCATTAAGCGTAGAGGAAGCTATGAATCATGAACATCTGTGTACAGACTCACAGTGCAGGGGGCGGTTGGCAGCAGAAACGGAGGGAGCCCTGTGGTCAAGCTGACCGATTCTGGTGTAGTGACAGGAGATGTCGCCGTGGATATGATGCCAGTTGTGGGCTGGGTGGTTGTCAACTCAGAAAGTGTCGGGGTGGGACGAGGAGGGGTGGCCTCCAGGGTCGTAGGGCTAGTCTCCGTGGTCTCTGGAGGCGTAGGAGTGGTCGTGTCAGGAGGAAGGCTAGGTGAAGGAGTCATGGCTTTCATGGTGGTGGGAGATGGAGTAGTCCTCAAGACAGCTGTTGATGATGGAGCTGTCACATGTTTGGTGCTCGTCATGGGAACTGTACTGGCACTGGTCGGCTCCTCGGTGGACCTGGTGGTCAAAGCCCGTGTACTGGGAGGCGCTGTGGTAGAACGGACTGAGGGCTGTGGGGCAATACTGGGCGGAGCCACGGTGACAGGTTCACTCGTCATGGCAGCTGGAGGCATGGTTGCAGTGAGCAGCGGGTGAATAGTCACCCCGTCCGTTACGGCGGATGTGACAGGACCGTGGGTGGTGGAGGGGGGTGATGACGTCATCAGGGAGGTGAGGGTGCTAAGGGGCATTGGGGTGGAGGTGGCAGGTGGCACAATGATGGTGGTGCGCGTGGTTGTTGGGAATCTGGTAGTACGGGGTTCAGTCACTGTGCTGGGTTCTGTAGTGGGAGCTGTTGTGGTTCTGTTGGATCTCGTCACATACATATAAGGGGTTGGTGTTGGTGGTAGGATGATGCCTGAACACATAAAAACATACATTTACTCACTGTTTTATTAAACGTCTATGGTATGACCAAACAAACTCAAAAGGCAATATTATGATTACACTAGTTTTCCCATGAAACTTCCCTGCCATTTGTAAATACACTACATGGCCAAAAAAAAAGTCTCCTTTTGAATTTTTCGTTGGGCTGCCTTTAGCTTTGATTATGGGGCACATTTGGCATGGCATTGTTTCCACAAGCTATTCAATTCTCACCAAGGTCCTGTATTGACAAGCGAGTTGAACCACCCCATAAAGCCTCCTTCAGCACATCCCAAACACCTTCAATGAGGCTACGGTCACAACTTTGTGGTGACCAAGTCATGCGTGAAAATGATTCCTCATGCTCCCTGAACCACTCTTTGACAATTCGAACCCAATGAATCTTGGCATTCTTGTCCTGGAATATGCCCATGCCAACAGGGAAGAAAACAATCCATTGATGATCGGTGGAGGTGTTGATGATGATGAGGTGTTGAATGATGATGGATGGAGGTGTAACCTGGCCAGTAGATTCAGGTACTCAGCTGACTTCCCTTTATTGCCGCATAATGTTGCTGAGCTGTAATAATGATCCAGTCATTGGCTCTTAAAGTATTTGCTGATATAAATTCAAATGGTGACTTTTTTTTGGCCGGGCAGTGTAGCTACACATCCACAATACAGATAAATAGTATTAAATATTATGGATTAAGGAATACTCACAGTCCTCTCTGTAGACACATCTTCTTGTAACCTCATCGAGGATCATGTTTTTCGGACACCGCGGAAAGCAGCCTTCCACCCTGCATAGGCCAGCATGCATTTTCCAGATGAAGAATGTACTGGGATCCACTGCCTTCCCTTCTTTACCTGCCCTGTGCTGCTACATTCACTGTCCACCACTCTCAGCACATCTATGTGGTTACATCCTGCTTGCAATGCAATTAGTTTCTCTGATCTATAGATGCATCTCATCAAGACTCAGTGCCTTTTACAAACTTCTACATCAGTATCGAAGGTGGTGCTCATTTAAGCTACATTCCAAAACCAGGGTCCAATGGTAAACTCAATAATGCTTTGGGGTCAACTTAACTTATCTGAACACCTTTATCCTTGTGGAACTCTGTCACCATACGGTCACATCACTTACGGTGGCAGGAAGCGGCATTGTGAGGCTGTGGGGTCGCTGCAGGTCTTCAGACATGGGCTGGAGCACGCATGGTACTTCCATTCACACATGATCCGGTAAGGGATCACAAAACTGCTCTCTGGATGAAAGGGTCACCAAATGAAGCCGAACTTCAACCACGATGGTCAGCATATAACCTCAACCTGTCGCCAATGACCGACTCACCTACCTTCGAGCATGAAGCTACTGATTTGCCTGAAGTGCTCTGAGTGGTCGTAGGCCATGGCGCGAATGCCGCTGGGGCTGAGGGTGAGGAAGATGCCCTTCTGACCATACAGCTCAAAGGAGGACAGGCTCGGCAACCATAGGCCCTGGTGGTGGACAAAGGTGCCCCTTTGGCGGAAGTCCTCGGTCCCGCTCCAGCGCTCCAGTCTCAGCGAGAGCCTCCCCGTCACACACAGGAAGTAGTTGGGCCTCTCAGCAGACTCCAGGGACACCATGGGCACGCCTATCAGAAGGGGATAGGGAGAATAAGGGACTAGACCCAAGTGAAGTTGAGGTACGCCTTCAGAGAACATCCACTGCAGAGTCGTGCCAACTATGTAAACAAAACAAGTTGGCTTCCTTAGGCATGAATATATCAACTGCTGCCTGGGATGTCAAGACTAAAGATCTGAGTGCCAAGGTGTGAGAAAAGCCCTTCAGTCCTCCTGAGCTACTACTGCTTGCCTGGGACTGTAGACAGCAGAACGTTATACCATGACAGACCCTCTGTACCGGACCACAAGTCATAATCCAGCTTGCAACAAGTGGTGGAGGGTCTTTTGTGAAACCTAGGAAACGCTCAGAGTTTGGGTCGCCGCCGAGCGGGAAGCTCCTTTCCTCGTAAGCCGCTTTAATGAAATGGCGACACGTTTTCAGTATCCCGCCCGAAGCACGACCGCCACGTGGCGAGCCATCACTTATCGGGTGTGAGCCGAGGCCGGTCAGGGGCTTACCTCGCCGTAGTGACTGAATGACCCCCCTCTTATTATGTAGCATTTTATCATTATTCCATTTGAATATGGCAATTGTGTGGCGATATGACAGAGCCTGCCTCTCCATAATAAAGCACCGGTAACAGGAGCAGGACTTTAGCTGGGTTAATCTGCCCTGCATGGCATAGGGTTACCTGCAGGGATTGTTGCGCTTAATGCATTGCATTGTAAGCCCCTGCAGAGGGGGGGGGCTGGTTGTTGTATCAATTAATAAGCACAAGGGAGTGACTATGGGGCCTTCGCTCCACAATCCCCTCTGCCCATGTCCACCGTCAGCCACTCACCTGTGAAGCACCACAGAAACTCGAAACGTGCCCTAATATCTGACCCCGGTCTTTCAGGGTCACGGAGGGGTGCAAGTCGATATGGGAGCAGGGGCATATGGATTTGGATGGGTTACGTTTGCCAGTAGAACTCTCTAGATAAACACTGTGCATGAGAGGGGACTGACCTAAAATATCTTGTGAATCTCTGCAGTTCGACGCTGGCGAGTGAGTTCCTTGTAACCCCAACACCCTGCCACTGGTCCACCCTGCTACCCTGACACTCATCAAATGGGTGAGAGTGTCATGAAGAGTCTGAACAACTGAACAATGGCGGACAGAATATGTGATACTGTCGACTGGAAGGTGAGCTCATAGTAAGAGTGAAAGCTAGCAGACGTGGGAAAGGTGGAGAGCTTGGGATCGTACTTTACACATCCAAAGAAGAGACCAGCAAAGAATGTTATAAAAACCCCAATGAACTGAATGTTTAATTAGATTTTTAATTAAATTTCTAACTAAATCCACTAAGATCCAAAGATGAGAAATATTGCAGGAATTCGATGAGGAGTATTGTAAAAAGTGGTTTAAATATCAGCATGGCAGCCCTCAGTGTTTCAGTGTTTCCAACATGGTGTGCTGACTCATTATTATAGCATCTTATTTACTAAATGAGTAACTGTGAACATAAACCGTCATCATCGCGGGTGTGGCCGCAATGCACTCACGAGACAGCTTGTCCTTGTAGAGGCCCACCGTGACCATGAAGTTGAAGAGGACTCCACCCTGGGCACTGGGCTTGGGAAGAGAGAACACCTCTCCACTGGTCAAGTTGGCCCCAATCACCGTGTCATTGAATGCAGCATTCGAGAGGACGTAAGGCCCCTCTCCCAGCTCTGAAACAGAGGCGCCATGCACCGGATCAAGGAAAAGGTACCGACTGTCAAAGCAGCAAACTGAACATCCCCTTTGATTCCACACATTGACAAAATAGCAGATTTAAATGTACATACCTTGATTGTAGTATTCGCAGTCGTATGCTGAAATGGATAAAGCACATTTACTTAGTGGTTTCTAGCAGTCAAAGCGTACAAATATAGCTCTGGAAAAAATTAAGAGACCACAGCAGTTTTCAGTTTCACTCATTTCTTAATTTATGGGTATGCGCCAGTGTAAAATATAGTCCTGCTTCTAAGAGCCTGTTATGAACTGTCCCAGCAGTGCACTTCACACCACTTAATGTTTCCCATTATTTTTGAAGGTCACTTGAGGTCATCCTCCGATTCATGAGAAACTGGCGGATAAGTTGACAGTCATCTCTGGCATTAGAAAGTTGCTTCTGCCCTCTGCCTGGCTGGTTTCTGGTTATTGCCAGTGTCTCCTGCTTGGCCTTGTTCCTGTGTACTGCTGTCTTAGAACCTTTGAGCCTGGAAGCAGCCCGCCTTGCAGTGTAGCCTACTGCCAGCAGAACCAGGAATAAACCAGAATTTAAAAATGCAGATTTTTTTAAAATATAGAGTGGTCTCTTCATCTTTCCAAAGTTGTATATACATGCATTTGCTTTATGTAATATGATTGATACCACTGTAAACCAGTTCACCCAGAACTCAACAAGAACTTTCTTATCGGCCTTTCTAATAAATGAAGGGTGGGTTTCCTGCCTCCGTGAGCCCTTCAGGTGAATCCATACTCACAGCACACAGTGGGAGACCTCCAGTGAACGGTCACGCCCTGCTGGCAGCATTTGTGGGCATAGGCAGCGATGCTGGTGCACAGACACTCGCAGTCGCCGCCCCGGTTGCAGTTGCATGTGTCCGTCAGGCAGTTCTTGTAGAACCACGTCACATCCACCTGCGGGGGGCCAGGGGATGTTATGTATAGGAGTGGCCATTGTCAGCGGACGATGAATAATTGATCACAGTAAGGGGACATCGTTGTCAGAAATGCAGGTCAAACCATCCAACTGTAGCCTATTTTGGTCAACATAAATTATTCAGATTTTTAATTCATATTCTTCAGTTGTTGGCATCACGGTAATATAAACTGAAACTGCACCAAGATCTTACATGACCTTCCATGTCAGTATATTTGCCCCTTAAATGTCAAAATCCTAATTAATATTTAAAAATCCTTCACTGACGGTAAGTTATATTAAAGATACTGTAGTTAGGCTCGAAGAAAACAATTCATACACGTTCTCACCAAGCCTGGAGAAAGAAAGCTTTGAACACCCAAAGGGATTAAAAAAAAATTCAATAAGAAGTGCAATGAACCTGTCAGTGACCGATTACATGCAATAATCCAACCGCCATAAACTTCGACGTCTTGCTTGCATGTTGTGTCCAAGCTGATGCAACAGCACCATCTAGTGGATACATCTATGTGGTATTTTATTTCACTACTTTTCCATGTCTTCTCCTGGAGTTTCTCAGTTATAAATCCTCTGGCATACTCATGCTATATACTTATATTAGGAGTGTAACGGTACACGGGCCTTTCGTATGGGTCTATCGGTACGCATATGTACCGAACTATTGTAGCAAATACGGAACTTTTGTATTTTTCCCCCGAGCAACATTCGGAAAGCGACGGATGAAGCCGCGCGGCTATGCGGCTATGCATGCGCGTGTACGTCGTAATGTGAAGCATGTAATGTGAATATAAGCACATCGCAGGTATTTTTTGCTGCACCATAAAGGATAATTATTTTGTTATGCTTTGCATTTTTGAGACAATATTTGTGTTGCACAGTTCGAATATGAAGCTGAAAGCTGCTAATGTGAATACAGAATGTGAATACAGTACAGATCAGTACAGTTGATTTTCTAAATGTGCACCTTAATGGATAATTATATTATAATATTTATTTTGATTTACTTTTAAGAAAATGTAAGTTTTTTTTAGTAGGTTGCAGCAGTACTGAAACTTTTTATTCATGAAAGAGTCATACTTTGTTCAGTAAGCCACTGTATAATAAAGAAAAGAAGCAATTTGAGTTTTGTTTCTTTTACCCCATACTGTACCGAAAACATACCGAACCGTGATTTTTGTGTACCGTTACACCCCTAACTCATATCATATACTCATATCATGTCATCAGCTCATTTTAATCTCTCCTCCACCACATAATGAGGGTATGCGTTTCAGCTGTAAAAGAACTCGGTTCAGAAATGAACAAAGTAAACAACTGGTAGGTACAGCATCTCGGCTCAAAGCAAGTCAGCTTTTGGTGGCCTTTGCGTAGGCGATGAAGCGCCCATTGTACCAACCACATTGTGACAGGGAGCAAAGACGTCGCTGTACAGAACGGCGCATTCTCTCTTGGCGTACGGCTGCCGGTTGAGGTCTCCTTCGCACGGCCTCTTCACCACGAAGTCACTTTCACACTAGAGGGAGAGATGGGGGTTAGATTGCTTTGCTAAGGTGAGATCTCATTTCACATGAAATAGCACACGGCACAGCTGACAGACGGACGGTTCACCAGAGCTACCAGTTTAAGGCCAAAAAATTAGTCTTGCCAGTGAGCATGAGCTAACCTGGGCTGTAGCCTAGGGCCCCTAATTGTAAGGGGCCCCAAATTTGTTTTTCTGGTTGTTACAGTAGCATTTTATGCTGATGGTAGGGCTCCAACAATAACTTTACCCCAGGGGCCACAACCTCCCTGTCTGCCCTGCCACAAAGCCAACACCAGAAGTAACCAGCAGGTAGAGCGCTAAGAACCCATGGTGCTGATAGGAAATGGATTCATACAGGGTGACTGATGCCTACAGAAAGGATGATGGTCCAGGCCCCCGTTTGTTATGGCTGCAGGGACAAAACTGACTGCTCAGTGGGGCTGTACGAGTTCAAACTTGCATGGCGCAAGGGCAACCAAAGACACTGGTGTGTCACGCTCCAAACAACAGGTATTTCCATGCCCAGCAGGAGGCATGCCAAGGTGAAGGAGTCCAAGGAATGACCGCTGGCTGCAAAGGCTGGAGCCGGTACCTGGCCAAGGGCCCAGCTGTCTCCGAAGCTCTGGGGGTTGCTGACCTCCATGTGGCTGGAAGTGGTCATGTCATTCACTGTGACTGTGTCAAAGTTTCCGCACATCCCTGTCAGCTGACCCTAAATGTGCAAAGAGATTATTTACATATGTAGCCAGACAGCTGTAGACTAGAGGACCTGTGTGTTAGAACCAGGAGTGGTTCTAGGATTTTTTTTAAGTTGAGAGGCACAAGAGGGGCCATAATTCATACAGAGATGCCGACTTTTGAGTGACAAGGGAAGGGGCAATCCGGAGGCACCCCTGTTGCCCCGGTCCCATGTACACCCCAGGTTCGAATCAGCTGGGTTTAATGTCGGAGCCTAGGTGAATTTTGTAAATAGAAATGTAAATATAAATGGTGCTGGGGGGGGGGGGTAGTGGTGTTCCACCTTCCACTGAGGCCCGGCACGGATGTGCACGGTGGTCTTTTTGTCCCACAGAATGGTGATCTCCTGCTTGGGGAAGTGCACCACCGTGTAGTAGCCGGCCCGCCACAGATGGAACTCATAGCCTTTCCCCACCACTGTGGAGGAACTCTGGAAGAACAGTGGACCAGGAGAGCTTTATGCTCAGTAATAGTGAAAACACTTTGCATACATTTGGTGTATGATGCAAAACTAATAAATGCTGAACTGACATAATGGCCAAATTAGATCAGAGTAGCGTAGATAAGTAGAGTAGAGTAGAGTAGCATACAGTAGATAAGTAGAGTACAGTAGAAGTAGTGTAGAATACAGTAGATAGATAGATAGATAGATAGATAGATAGATAGACAGATAGATGGATAGATAGATAGATAGATAGATAGATAGATAGATAGATAGATAGATAATCATTTATATATTCATTACATAGATACTGTTCATACATTCATAACATTCCAGAATCGATAACCAGTTAATTCTTACTGGGTAACATTTTTAAAATAGAATGAAACTTGGAGGAGGCCTTCTCCAATTTTTTCACCACCTTTCTAGCAGAAGCCTTGGTTCCTGGTTACGTAAGGGAACCTGATATGACATCCAGGCAAAAGTGAGGATAGAGCACACCCCAACAACGCTAGTCCCAACACCCAGGCTGGCCACCGCCCCTCGGGCCCCCGGACCCCAGGGCCACCATGGGACTCACTAACCGGCTTTCCTGAGCTGTCGCTGAAGTAGATCTTTGTGAGGCCCACGTAGATCACCAGATATTTCATGCAGATGATGCCGCTGTCGTAGCAGTCCTTGTTCTGCGTGGTGATGGAAATCTCAGTGTCGTTGATGCTCTGAAACGACAGGATGCCATTATCACACAGGAATGACTTTCTGTGAGCAAGATTAATATATTTTGTGTATATATTTACTATGCTTATTCTGTATTGAGGCTTGTGGACATGGTGGTACAGCTTTTGGCTTGGAGCTCCTGAAGGGATCCTGCCAGCTAATATTGAAGCCGGTGGTGACCCCTCCCCCTACAGCACACCAAAAAATGGGGGAGGGGCAAGCTGGGGTTGTTGTCTGGGCGTCAATCTACTATAGATTGTGTGCTGGCTAAGTCAATTAAAGTCTTTTCTGTCCCTAAGTTAAGATTTTAAAATATTACGTGACTTGTTTGATTATCAACTGAAAGAGGCTTTTGTATGAAATGGCCTAGAACTTTATCTTGCAACTTTGCATTGTTCAAAGGCTCATAACTTTAAAAGGGTATGAAAGAAACATATAGGGGAACCATTCCATGGATTGTAAAAGCACTCTTCAGGAACGCTAATCAAAAAAGGCTTTAAAGTTGTCATTTTTTGGTGAAACGTGCACCACGTCCAATACTTGGGTCAAGTACAATGGCGCCTACAGCACTAAGAGCAGGCATTCCTGCAGCTCCAGTGTGCTCCTTAGAGGATCGCTGCCCTTTAAAGCCCACTTTTCAAAGGTAACCAGAGTCCACCACAGGCTCTCTTCACAGATTGAATAAGCGGCTTTAATTAAGGGAAAGAATCAATTTTAAAAAGATCAGGCAAGCTCTAGATTCCCAGTGATGGGCAGCTGCAGTCTGCGGTGGGTGATCCCGCTGCCAGCCCATTTGCATGCCTCCACGTTTTGTCCGGGAGGAACGTGCGGCGCAGAAGTGCCATCCTCCCAGAGATCGGCCAACTTGAAAAGGGGGTCTAGGGGGGCCAAGCCCAGGGTCTGGGAAGAAAGCAACTGGGAGGCTGGCAGGAACAAGTTGGCCTTTGTATGGTGTGTCGCCTCTGCCCTGTTTGTCCAGTAGATCTGACATTTGCTTGGGTTGCATTACAGCAATCCTGTTCTAATTAAAAAAAACGCTTCTGATTTTCCCAAGATTAGGGGCTTTGAGACTGGCCACGGATCTGCTTTCCAGAGATCCGATCCGGCCCCGCCTGAGAGAAGCTTTAAGGACCGGGACTGCAGGGGTTTGCCTCAGGGAAAGGTGGGGGGGTCGGGTTTTGGAAAGGGGTAAGCCCCCCCCCCATCAATACAGAAGTCCCGGATTAATAAGCATTCCGCCTTTGTTCCTCTAAATACCATCTCAGATAAAGGTTTAGCCAAGCACCGATCTCTTGACCCCCCCACAGGGCCACTGTTACTGATGATTGAGCGATAAACACAGCAAAGCCCAAAGCCGCAAAGTCCCCTGCATCTATACGTGCACCTAGTCAACGCATCTACATCAACCCATGTGAAGTGTTTATTTATTGTGGTATTATTTAATACTCAGGCAGAAGCGCCCCTACCTTCACTAAATACACCTGGCAGTTGCTGACATAATCGTACTCCAGTCCGTCGAACGTGTGGTAATGGCGGTCGCTGTACGCAGTGCAGACCCCCGGGCAGGGGTAATAGGTGCAGTTAAAAAAGCCGCGATGGCAGGTGCTGGAGAGAAGAGGCAACAGAACAGGGGCATCACATGTCACGCTCGGAGTCAGCGGAGCTGCAGGAGAGGACCTTGCTGCGGTTTTTTGAGCTGAGCATCAAGGTCCTAATCAGAATCAGCGACATGGGAAAACATTAAGGCTTAAAAAAAATGGGTTAAACATAAAAATACTGGCTTCTAATGGAGAGGTGACATTTAATCCCTTCTTTGAAGAGTGATGAAGCATAATCTCTAGAGCAGTGTTTCCCAACCCAGTCCTCAGGGACGCGCAGACAGTCCATGTTTTTGCTCTCTCCCAGCTCCCTAAAAAATGTGGACTGTCTGACAGGGAGCTGGGAGGGAGCGGCTGTGGGTCCCCGTGGATCGGACTGGGAAACACTGCTCCGGATCAATTGGCTACCACCATGTTTTAAGGTGGTATCCAATGCACATTGCATCTAGTGGCAATATTCCCAGTGTCCTCCTGTCACCTTCTGGGTGCTGAATTGTGAGAGGCACCCCAGGACACTGTATATTACCGAGGGGGAGTGGAGCAGAATCGTTAGCCTGATCATCACACCTACCAAAGCTGGCAGAGTCATGCATACCATTTGGAGCACGGTGTGGACACCACTTCCCCAGGCAGATACTCCAACCCCAGCCAGGCACACGGACAGTTCTCCGGGTAGTAGCATTCTCCATTGTGTCTTACTAGCCTTTGGAAAAGGAGAATTTTTAAACATGAGATGCAAATGATTAGCTTAGGCCCTTATAGGAAATGAATGTCCTGAGTTTAGTTAGCTTGACTGGCTAATGATTGCCCAAAAAATCAAATAAAATGTTTTTTTGAGGCCTCTCTGGCAGGGCTTTTAAATAGTAATAGTTTTAAACATATTTGTAATGCATTGTTGCAGGAAGTTTCAAATAAAACGAATGAAACGAACATTTTCTCAAGTACAAGTACAGTTACAATGGAACACTTATTTTCACATATGCTGTATTGCCCTCCTTTTTCACACACACACACACACACACACACACACACACACACACACACACAGTTGAGAATGGAGCTTGGGGGCCGAGCACAGGGTCAGCCATTGAACTGCCCCCCCGGACCATTTCTCAAACAAGTTTACCATGAGTTCAATCGTTCACCTTTTGGTATTTTGCTTAAGTCCTGCCTTTTGGTACTTTTTAAAGTAATAATATTCAGTACGCAGCAAATCATCACTGACCCTAACAAGCAGGCCTCTTCATATAGCACAGTGTTTCCGATCCGGTCCTTGGGGACCCATAGACAGTTCACGTTTTGCTCCCTCCCAGCTCCCTAAAAATGTGGACTGTCTGGCAGGGAGCTGGGAGGGACCGGCGTTGGGTCACCAGATTGGGAAACACTGGTATATCGAATTGGCAGCCTGGTATATCGAATGGGAAAGCATTGATTGGCAACAGGGTTTCCCAACTATGAAAACACAGAAGCAAAGATATTCAAACTGTGGGGAACTGTATGGGGGGTTTGATGTGGGGGCAGACCTATAATTGAAACTGCAGCCTTTAGAAGTATTAAAAATGATGTGAACACATTTTATGCCTGCACACAATATATGGTGCTAGTTAATTGGCAAATTAATTTAAAGATGTAAAATAGATTGGCACCACATACTGAATATGTTGCTCAGTTAATAGCTACATACTTGGAGGAACCATATAGAATTTTATAGCTGCCGGTAGTGTTAAAAGAAAATGTGACAGCAAAGCAACAACGAAAACAAGCAAAAACAGAAAATATGATGAGGCTTATCTGGAATACAGTTTTACTTCAGTTATTGTCGATAGAGAGGGACGGCCTTTTTGCGTGGTTCGCGCCTGTGTCTTGGCTAATGACAGTCTGTAACCAACCAGATTAAAACCACAGTGATAAAACACTGACACCTTCTTGGAAAAATCAAAAGACTTCTTTCAAAATAAATCACACGAATTTGAGGAACAGAAAAGGTCAATGACCTGGATGGCAGAGCAAGAAAACAGGTACATCCTGCAAGGTAAAGTTTGTGTGTGTGTGTGAGCGGGTTTTCCTGTCCTTATGGGGACACAATGTCCCCATAACGTGATAAATATCTGGTTTTTTTCCCTTATGGGGACCGGTTTCCTGGTGCCCATAAGGGAAAACTCTATTTTATAAAAATCGGTGACTGCTATGAAAAAACTAAAAATGCAAAAACTCTTGTATTTTGTTAGGTTACTTATGGTTATGGTTAGGACAGGGTGGGGGTTAAGGTTGTCATAGTTAGCGTTAGCATTTTTCCCATTGAAATGAATGAGTGGTCCCCATAAGGATATGTTTACCCTACATGTGCGTGTGTGTGTGTGTGTGTGTGTGTGTCTGTTTTGCATCAAAGAAAAAACAAAAGTATTCCTCCTGCTAGTGGAAAGGCTTGCAGTGTCTGACCTCTGCATCCTTCCATAATCAACAGATTCTTATTTTATATTTTAGAACCTCCAGTCCTGTTCTCATCTAGGTTTAAAGGGTACGCCAAACACAGCTGGAGACCTGGTAAAATGTGCCAATAAACACCCATAGGAGGGGCTACAATAGTTTCCGCTCACATCAAGATAAAAATTCCTGCCTACATCAAGATTCGGCACACTTTTTGCACTACACCGCAGCTCTGCATTTAAAAGTATTTAGCCAGCAATAACATTCTCCACTTTTTGCCTTATTTCCTTTTCAGCAGCTTTCCCTTCACTTCAAATGGAAATTGTAAGCACTCCCCCTAAAGGTAGGCAAGGGAATTGCGTGATTGTAAGTTCTAATGAAAAGCATTCACCTACAGTCCCATTAGTCACAGTGATCTACCTACCCCGCAGGGCAGCCGCAGCCAGGGACGCAGGGAGTCATGGGCGAGCAGGTGAGATTGATCATCAGGTTCCGGCATGTGACCTCACAGGCTAAACCCAGGCGGGACTGGGCTGTCTGTGGTTCCCGGCAACTGTAGTAAACCTTCCCTGGGGGGCAGTCTCTAGGCTCGGGTTCTGATGAACACATGGGCTCATGCTTATTACTAAACCTCTTTGCAAGCACCTGAAAAGCACATGCTGAACCACAAAGGGATACACGCAGTCTCGCGATGCCACAATGACATCACAACCTTGACGTTCATTTTACTGGCAGAAATTGATGTTTCCACACCCACATGCTTGCTTAAAAGGGAGGTAATCGCACCAGTTAAGCGAATCACTTGGAAAAGAACAGCAAAGGACGTTGCAGCCCAACAGGTTTAAACTATCAGCAGAACAGACTGAAGACAGTTCATATTGAATTCAGTCAATGAGTTTTGGGGTGACTCTTGTTTCAGCTCCATAATAAACAAGCATGTGTTCAAAACACATTCTTTAAAACCAGTAATTATCAGGCCGTCAAGTATCATTGGCAAGGGTTTAACCTGCAGCTGCTTGCTAAAGGTTTGTAGAATGCAGAACACACTCATTTTTGTCTGTGAAATGAAGAGAAGGCTCACCTCGTTCCTCTGGTACACATTCCATACGTCCATTCCTGCAGAGGCTGTAAAGCACAGGAGAATGTAACTAGTGTTGCAGTACTCCAGACCGGTCTATTTTGTGGTCTTGGTCTCGCCTCGGAATCAACTTTATTTTCAGTCAGTCTTGTCTCAGTCTCAGACATAGAGGACTCAAGGTTTTATTTCAAGACCAGTCAAGACCACTCATCAAAATCTCACTACTTATCACAATGGCTTAATATTCATCTGTTCGTTAAACATAGTTCTGTGACTGGGTGTAAAATGTCCTGCTTCAAAGTTCAAATGCAACCAATAAGGTGCAACCTATTCGTAAAATGTAACATTTGTACAGAAGCATTTATATTGAAATTTTAAGAAAAAACCTCCAAATTATACTGTAACACAAATTTTAGGCCACACTACTAAGCCCCAAGATGGTGCCTATGCTCCACATTTTATAGTATTTTGTGGTTATATAGACTCAAACATTAGTCTCTGATCTTGACTTGGTCTAGCCCTGCCCTGGTCTTGATCTTGTCTCAGTCTCACCCTGCCTTGGTCTTGGTCTTGTCTCGGTCTTGATACACTCTGGTCTTGTTAATGACTTCGTCTCAACATCACATCACTACAGGTAACATGCATGTAAAAAGGCTCACCAGGGACCTGAGGCACTGAAGGACACCTCGCCAGGCTGGAAGACAGATCCCATGAAGTAGCAGTGACAGTGAGACCTGTGGGTACAAGAGACACCAGAACACCAGCAATCCCATCACCTTGGGTCATCAACATGATATGTTTGCTAAAGAACCAATCAAAACTCAAAGAGATGAATGAATACAGAAGCACCCTATGACGTAGTGAGTTTCCTGAAGGGACTGGGCAGAGATGTGCTTACGCAAGGACACAACGCTGGCGCACGTCATCGTAGAAGGTGTTTTCACTGCAGCCGCAGCCTTCGGCGCAGTCATTACTGCACAGCTCCCCGCTGGACAGTGATTGGCAGGTCCTCCCACAGGTGGAGGTGCATGAGTGGTACATCATTCCACCCAGGCACACCACACCTGTGCAGGCAGGGCACATTCGAAGAGCACATTTCCAAAACCCACTCAGTCCATTTCTTGTTTTTGAGATCAGACCACCAGTGAGCTAAAGTCAGGCTTCCTCCTCATATGTTACAGTATAGGGAACGAAAACTCACTCAGTCCTCATGTAATCCAAAGAACTTTTGTTAAGTTTCCAAAACTCACTAAGTCCAAAGAAATGTTCACGAAATAGAATCCCGTAGACTGAGCGATATTGGGTGATTTAGAAAATGCTACTATGACAAATTTATGCATGTTGTATGACAGCAATTAATTCATCCAGCCACAGTCAGAACTGATACCATGACTGTTATTTGTGAGGCGGTCCCTCAGCCCCAAAGCCCCCACCCCCATCACTCACCGCACTCGGACACGTGGGCCCGGAAGTTAATGACCACCTGGTGCTTGGCGCAGACGTAGGCGTAGTGTGCCAGGGCCGTACACATGCAGCTACCGCCACAGAGGCACGCCTGGAAGCGGCACTGCTGGTAGTACACGCTGGGGCTGACGTATTCATGGCAGGGAGCAAAGAGCTCTTCTGTGAGCACAACGCACAGCGAGGCGTAAAACCCTGCAGGAGAGCAGCACACGGCCATCTTTTACAAGCCGGCTCGAGCTTCTGCACTTCAAATGAGCTGAAGATAAATCTTTACACTTTATTATGTATTTATACTATGATTTATAAATTATGAGCTCTTCAGTCTTGCAGGGGAAGCTTTGGTTGCACAATCGGTGTCTAACCCCTACTCCCCCGGCAGGGCTGGAGGAGTCATAACAATCTACACAATATTTTGACTGCAAATAACTGCAACTGTACTTCTCAATAACCTTTCTTCTGTGTATCTCAGGGGGTAGATAAAGAGCTGATCAGATGTAATGAGCAGTACCATTCTCCTGGTTCAGGTCACAGGGGTCAATAATGGGCACATTGACAGGGTTGCTGCATGCTGAGGAGACCTTCCAGGCATTGGCGTGGAGTTGGGGCGTGCCCTCGATCATGCCCGACGGGGACCTGTGAGGAAACACGGCCAGCATCATGGCATCTCATGGTCATACTGTGAGACAGACGTTACTGGTACTAAATGATACTGGTGCCAAAATTTAGGTTAAACCTGGAGAAAAGCATCTCAGCCAAACCCAGATAGCAAAGTATCACTGACGACAGACATAATGACTCCGGTAGAGAAGCAGGCCTAACTCGTTGAAGATACTCCTGAAATGTGAGGGGTACCATCAACCATGCAAGCTTAATAAAACCCTCTGTGGTGAGACAATTTAACTACAATATCTCACAATGTATTTGCATGTCTCATGTTACATTCCTGTGGGACAATCCACAGAATGCCAGCATGCCATAAATGCTGCATGTACCTAACAGTCATATCTGAGGCACGCCCACTTTATAGATCTGTTACTGCACTTTATCAGCCACTGACCACAAACAATCTAGTTCGGTACAGTTTTACATTGCTTTTTACACTTACTGTATTTGTTTTGTACTTTATTGGATTGTCATGCATCATCTGTATTGTTCTGCACAATCTTGTATTGTTTTACACTATCCATATTGTTTTGTACTGTCATGTTTAGTTCTTTGTAACCAAGGGTGTTTCTCAATACCAAGAATGCAGAGATCTTACTTGTGGTCTTGGCAAGAGCATCCTTGCTAACTTGCCTCTCAATAATGAAAATGAAAAATGAATCATGGGATTGGTCTGGATGCAGCCCATTGATATATGGGGAGGGGCAAAAATGACACGGGGATTTTTACCATCTTTTCTATTTCTGTTCTTAGCATTGGAACTGGTCTTCAACAATGGAAGACAAGAACATAAGTATGGTCAAGTACATATATTGAGAAACACCTCAAGTAAGGCCCAACTAATAAGTACTGCGATACACCTGTTGCACATGGCCAATAAAGAATCTTTTTCATCATGCAATCATCTCAGAAACATTACAGACTGATGTTACTCTCAGTCCTGCCTTCCACAGGCAGGCAGATCTGGGTGTGTTGGGGCAGCGTTTGGGGCTCACAGGAAGTCATCGCGCAGGTTCCCGTTGAAGGTGCCACACAAGCCCACGGTGAAGCCCTTCCAGCTGCTGTCCAGCAGCACGTAGAGGCGCCCGCCACGCCCATCGAACTGCACGTGCAAGCCGAAGACAGTGTGCAGCTGCACGAAGAGGGACGTCAGCTGACGAACCTCCACCGTATCTATGGGACGGCAGAGAGAGGGGAGAGGCGGGACAGATGAGAGAAAGGAGTCTGTTCAAGCACGAGAACATTTCTCTGCTACTAGCAGAACTTGCAGATGTAGAGCATAGACATGACATGATCCTGTGAGAGAAGAAACCTGTGATAGACTGTAAAAACCATGGACTGTGGAATGTATCTCAACCAAGGGTGGGAGCCAATAAATCATGCAAACTTCTCTGTTTGCTTTTGAAAAACTCTTTTTTACCTGCCCGGCTCACTATACACATTCTTGCCTTGTGTCTGTTGAGATTTGGTTAATGCTTCTGATGATGCAGCAATAATTTTAAGGTATAAAATACAATGGATTGGTAGATTTCAGATCACATTTTTGTTTTAAAAGAAGACATGGATAGAAATCAGGTTTTTATTAATAAAAGTTATATGGGTTAGCATTAAATTATTTCTAGGCATCTTTTCATAACTGTTCATCACGATTCTCGATGCTCCAAATTTACCCGGGCACAGGTGGCCCCGCTGGTCCAGCAGTCCATGGTAAAAGCCAACGAGGAACACTGATTGCAAGCAAAACCAGAAAAACAGCATCTAAGAAGATAGAGAGGCCCATGGAAACAGCACGGCCTCGGGTGCTCTCACCGTCGGAGTAGGGCAGGCCGGTCGCCTGATTGACCCCGATGAAGACCTCTCCTTCCCTGGTGAGGGTCACCTGCCGGCTCACGTCCTCATCCACAACCAGTGTCATCGAATGGATGCAGGGGTGCTCCTGCCTCTGCGGGGGGTGCAGGTGGGGGAAGGGGGTTGGGGGTTGGGTTGGAAAAGCAGGCAGCTCTCACACTCCCCCCTGTAATGGTACAGCCTCATTACCACCTCAGTCACGTTTCACAGCCAAAAGCATATGCCCTCTCACGTGGCTGTGTCAGAGATCAATACTGTCTCACAAACTCCACTTCACACAGAACGCTCCACAAGGACGGCCGGGTCAAGCAAGCACTGATTAAAGATTACACAACTGCCCAGGTTAAAAACACTCATGGCGACGGATTGCTGCAGGATAGCAGTCACTGCACATCATTCATACTCATTCAAATGAATCAAATGATTGCGTAGATGTAGTAATACATTAAAGTCTTCTTGCTGTTTGAGGAGGTGGTGTTGTTTATGGAAAAGACCATGGATGGGGGTGTAGCTGAAGAAGCTGTAACATGGAATAATAAATGGAGATGACTTTGAATAGTGGAATTCATAAAGAAGCTGGAGGTGGAGATGGAGAAGACCATGAAAGGTGATGGTGAAAGTAGAAGGCCATGGAAGGTGGTATAGATGGAAAAGAGCATGAATGGTGATGGAGATGCAGAAGGCCATGGATGGAGGTATAAATGGAGCAGGTCATGGATGGTAGTGTGGAAGCCACGGAGCGTGTGTTACCTCACCGCAGGGCACGTTCTGCAGGGTCACCATGAAGCGGGTGCTTCCCCGGCTTTTCACCAGCACGTACTGGCAGGTGCCCAGGTGTGTGAAGATCCGCCCGTCGAATGAGGTGATGTGCGAGTTGCCCATGATGGAGCACTCCGCTGCAAGCCAATTGAGAAAGCGACATGAGGATGAAGCCGTTAAGGCAGAAATTACTCATCTCCACGGTGGTGATTAAATAAAGGTTTGTTACAGACTGACAAAGGCGGGGTTACCTGTACAGTTGCCCTCTGTGCAGTTCCACACACCTCCCATGCAGACACTGGAACACATCAAGGACAGGTGGCTCTTCATAAGCATTCAACGGGCCATGCAAACAAAGCCTTCGGTATCCTGGAGCCTGCAGGGCGTTTCTGCATGGTGCCAGCAACTTTAATCTCATCAGATTTATTTTCTTGTCAAAGGATTGACTCTCCTAATTGATTAACCATTAATTAATATGTACCAGTTTAACAGTGTCCCTGTGACCTTTCAATGCCCAGAGCACGTCTCGATGTCCTCCCAGTGCTTTCCTGGGATTTCTCCCGCAATCCCCAGGTTACAAATGAAATCCATTCCCTAAGTCTGTCTTCAAGTCAAATTTGTAGGTAAGTCAGAATAGTTATAATACTGTACATAATAATAATCAAACAGTAGTAATAAAAGCAACTACATAAGGTTCTGTACCTCGAGTCAACAACTTGCTGAAGCCGTGCCGTGTTTTTATGTGCGTCAATAAGTAGTGAGTCCGTTCTTTATTACAAACCATTGCATTCAACTCATTTTTTTAATATATTAGGCTTCTAATATCACAGGCTTTGACCAAAATCGAGTCACCTTTACCTTATAACAGCAAATGCTCAAATTTGAATAAAACTGAGGTAAAACACCCTTTTTCTCAATATCAGTGTCATTGTAGTTACTGTGTTTTACCTTTGTAAGGCAGCAATGCTACTGGATTAGTGTCATCACTGTATGCTGGTTTAGTGTAATGTTTCATTCTTGTGACTGTCCTAACATGGGATGCCATATTCCTCTATTCCTCGCACATACCTACGTAATATGCAATAATAAAGCTAAGTCTAAGTATGAGCTCATAGATGGTTTGGGGGGGGGGGCAGGGGGGGACTCACCAGGAACTGCAGCCCTGCTCCAGCACATGGCCTTGGGGGAAGGCGTGGCCGTGGTACACACAGGGGCACTGGGACACAGCAATGCAAGTGCCATTTTGCAGAATCATCCCTACCATGAAACACAGAAAGTCTCAGTCTCATTGTCTCAGTCCCATTATCAACACAGACTGCCCCCGCACTACTGACCCATTCAGAGGGAAAAAGGACAGGTCACGTTTAAAGCACTCTCTAAGAATGACTCATCGGGGTGGTGGCGAAGCTGCCTGTGCGTTAAGAAGGTTTTACCGTTTAACTATAAGACGGTGAGCTTGAGTTAAGTAACCCTACGATGCCAGTCCCTGTGGTGCCAAAATCGCTTTTTATACCGCTCAAATTCTTACTTATTTAAATCAGATCTGTTGTTAGACTAAATCACTGCAGGCGATCTTCGGAATCTTCCTCGTATGTGGACATGTGACACTTTGAGATACTGCCTAGCAATTGAAATGCTTATAATTCCAGAGTGCTGTATTTAAGGAGAAGCTAAAGACAGGCTAAAACAGGCGGGGGGTGGGGGGTTTGTACCATCGGGGCAGTAGCAGCCATCCAAGCAGTGCAGGTTGGTGCCGAGACACTCCTTCTCAAAGGTGCAGGTGGGGGGACAGCAGCTGATGCAGTCCCTGTGGACGAAGCTGTCCTCGCAGCGGTCAGCTGGAAAGACCCAAAACGACGTCAGCGCCCCTCTGTCTAATGACAGCCTAGTGAGGGCATGGAGTACGAACAGGGCATCATGGGTAGGCAGCATGGTCGTTAGATATGCAAATTTAAGGGCCCATTTCATTTGCACAAGGAGCTCTGCTGTTGTGCTCTCTAGCCAGGTAAGTCAGTACCAGTTAAAAGTTTTGACACACCAAGCGGTCTCCAAAGGAGAGTGATAGTGTCTGATCACACATGGTGTCCAAACTTTGACTTCCACTAGGTGATTTCCAGAGGTATCTATTGAACAATAATAGTGACTGTCACTGTGACACCACTTACTGGAGCGAATAGTGCCACCTGATCACTCACCACAGGTGGGGAAGCTGTCCCTCCACTCTCTCACGGGGTAGCCCACGTGCGAGCAGGCCCTGGTGTACTCCACCAGGGTCCGACAGAACGTCTCCTCATCGTCAGACCTGTGCACAAGACGGCACCTTTAAACAGATCGGCAATAAACTGGGAGCTCTGGGATTCCTGCAGTATATTATTCAATCAGTTTTCTGCTTGCAGCACACTGTGAGTGTTAGCATTTCTGTATACAAAATTCTTTGGAGCAACTACATAGTGAAAAGCACTTCAGAAAAATGAAACTGAATTCAAACTGAAATATTATTTTTAATTTAACTAACAAAACAATTTGGTTTTAGCTACTTGGTTTTACTAGAAAATGATGTATACATTTCTGTATGTCTTAATTATACACAATATAGTCTACATGAAAATCTATTTTTATTAAATTTATGAAAATGTATTCACTGGAAATAGTCAAAATAGACAGTACGCACTTAAGAGTGACCCTGGTATCCATTTGTAGAGTAGTCTACTTATTAATCTCAGGAAAATTTCAGTGTTTCAGCATGATGTCCTGATAGGCAACAAAAATGTACAGTGTCTAAAATAATCAACGTTGCCCCCCCCTCTGCTTCTGACATTACACGCTTGAAAGCACCTCAGTCATCAACAAATTAGAGTCCCTCACTCCAGCTCTTACCTTTAAAGCAACCCAAACTCCATTTAATTATTTTTCCACAATAAATATAATCCCCTCAATTGAAAGACTCCCAGGTGAACTGCCAGCTCCTGGGGGTGAGGGGGGGGGGGCTGCTTCAATTATAGTGTTGAGGGGCATGTGGGGATGGGGTGCAGAGGAGGCTGGAAATCCTGCGACTCACACACACAGGTCGGAGACGCAGCTGGCCACGAAAGGGTTGGGGTCGATGTTCTCATGGCAGGAGAGGAAGGGGAAGAAGAGGAGGACGCTGCACTTCTCCACGGCGTCCTGCGGCCAAGCGAACGTAGAATCAGCCGCTCCCAGCCTCCGATAAAGCGACTCTTCTCGCTTCACTCATCACCGTAACCGTAAACACTCCTGCCTGCCCGGCTGCTTACTCACCGCAGGTTATTAACACATGCTCAGAGCCAAAGCATTTTCATTAAATATGACCACACAGTCTGGCGGTGACCTACCTCCATATCAGACTCAGATTTGCAGGGCCCGGAGAAGTCGTCCTCCACGGGTTCGCAGGGTGCCTGGTGAGGAAGGTCTACGTGCCAGCTGTTGCCGAAGTCCGCCGTGTCCTCGGTCTTCACGCCTGCGGGGGACGGGGGGGTGACAGGGGCAAAGCGAGTGTCACCGCGTTCAAACATCTCCCATTAGTCTGGAAAATGCAGCAGATGTGATATTTGACTCTACTTTCGGTGTGGAGGCTGTGGTACGGTTTCACCACCGAGCGCCAACTACTAAACCCAAACTCGTGAGTCACCTGAAATGCATCCCTTTGGTCAACGGGTGCAAAATTCTGAGAGCCAAAGACGAGGCTCTTTGTTGCCAGGAATGGTGTACGAATACAGTTGGAATCCTTTAAACTCGGCGGATCGGAAAGTGTGGCTAAGGAAATCTAAGCACCTTGAGGGGACTTTTGGAGGGATCCTTGTGATATGCACTAAGATACATGTTTGCATCCACAAGTTATAGCCAAACGTACACCTGTTTTACCCAGAAGACATCAGGCCCAATTAGCATGCAGGGTGCCTGTTAGCATGGTGCCAGGTTTCAGGAGTTGGGCTGACCTATTCTTCACAGCACCACAAAGGCCGGTCAGAGGCACGGTAACAATTCCGTATCCTGGTGGGGAGCAGCAGCCCCCCGGACGCAGCACCGGGCTGAATCCGGCGACGACTGACTGAATAAGTGCCGCCGGAGCCTCACTGGGCATACCGTAGCTGGTGGTGAGGTCATCCGATCCGTCATCATTGTAGTTCCCGCAGAGTCCACAAGGCCGGCCTTTGTGCTCTTCCGTCATTTTGATGTAGACACCAGAGCCCCCGTCCCAGGCCAGGGAGAGGCCGAACGTGCTCTTCACCAGGATGTAGTCGGCCAGCCTCTCGATGAACACGTTGTGGATGGTCTGCGGTAAACTCAGTCTGGCCAATGGGAACGTGGCAGGATGTGACATGTAAATATCTGCCCTTACTGCTCCCAAATCGCAAGAAAATCGTTAGATATAGTCAGCCATTAAGTGAGTCATTACGTCTAACGACACACAGCATTATTAACTAATATTACTCTAAAAATGTGATCAAGGATATAAACCATAATTCAGGGTTGCACCAGTACATAGAGCACAGTATGCATCTGTAGTGCAAGTCCACTTGTCTGCTTGCTTTTGAAAAATTCAGGTATAACCTTCTGTTTAAAAAAAAGAATATAGTTCAGGCCTAAAGCCTTATGAGTTTGCCCCCCCCCCCCTCTGATTCTGTGGTTCATGCTCCAGTAAAATATCCAGTTGCATAAAATCATCCTTACACACCAGCTCACTTCAAGTTCCCGAATCTCCTCATGCTCATCTCCAAAAGTGTCAACGCCTTCCCTCCCCCATTACCCCCCCCCCCTCCAGCCCAGTGGGTTCCCCACAGTCACCTGACACCCCCCTTGTGGACCTGGTACTCAGCAATGAGGATCTCCTCCTCATTGGGGAAGTAGAGGCTGAGGGAGCGTGCACAGGTGTACATTGGTCCTTCACAGTCCCGCTCGTTGTGCACCTGGTGGTTGTGAGGGTGAGATATTACTGTGGATTGAAACTGGGAGACCAGAACAGGACCGTTTATATAAGCCATGACAGGCAGCTGGTAAAATCAGCATCTCTCAGAAGAGGGTATCAATATCAATAGATAACGAGCATCCAGAAGCAATCAAATAGCAATTTGTTGGTTCAGATGTCAATATTAAGGAAAGTGATCAGTTTTCAGAAAAATAACTCCAAAGAAACATTCTAATGGAGAGCCATGAGGAACAAAGGATCACCGGCAGACCAGGGGTCAAAGGCTGTCTGACCTACCCACACCGTGTACTGTGGCTCCGTCCTGTGGCAGTCTTTGGCCAGGATGTAAGAACACTTTCCCGGGAAGTAGTAGTAGATACCATCAAATGTCTCAAAGTGGTGCTGTCCCCAAGACCGACAGATCCCATCTCTGTCCTGACCCGTGTTGGCAACTGAATTCAAATAGGAAGCACATTAATCACATCAGAGTCATAGCACACTAACTCTAAAGTAGTTTAATTTAACACTATATTACTTCAAAAACAGTCATGTGTCACATGTTTGTTTTACCAAGTACCAGTAATTTGCCCCTTACTGTGTACCATTTGTTGTTTTAACTAGAGTAGAAGCTTTTCAAAGGACAAGGAATTACACATTAATCGGAGTGTAGATTTAAAGATTAATTATCGCCAATGCCAACTCGCTGGTCAGGAAAATTCAAAACAGAAGGTCCCTTTGTTGCCATGAACAAGGTTTCCCTTAAACTTAATAAAACCAAAACGCTGAATTAAAAATGTTAGTTATTGGATTGCTAATTTGGGATACTTCTATTAGACATTTAAAGATAAAGAACAGGAATTTAATAATTACTGCCCAACACTCTGGAATGGACCTAAAATTCGATACCCTCTGATTTTTGTGAGTCAATAATAAGGCAGATAAGGGGTATGAGTAATTAGAACACGCCGTCACTGAGTCACTGAACGGATCCCTGAAGCTTGTATGAAGTGAAGGGGCACTTCTGTATGTCAGGTACAAAGGAGACAATGGAGGAGAAAACCTCTGGCCAAGCGTGACTAGCGTTCCCAGCGTGAATCGCCCTTTCAAACGGCTGGAGTCTACTAAAGCTCAGCTACTAACTCCTACTGATAAACTACTAACTAACTTGCAATCAGTTGCATGTGTAAGTAGGGTTGCCACTTTCAATCTGTAGAAATAAGGGACGCCAACCTCTGATTTGCTGGCAGGGGGAACCAGGGCAATTAAACTGTATTTCGTTCCGGATACAAAAATATGGGATGATCCCGTTATATATGAGACAGGTGGCAACTCTATGTGTCACTGAAACGCCAGAAATCTGTCGCTGAAACTGAAAGCCCTTTTACCAAAGTTTGGTCCTCTCTGGTCTGACCCAGACATCAAACATTTAAAGATATTTTTTTTTAAAAAAACCTGTTTTTTGCCATCACCTGGAAAACAACTGGACAGGACGACATGGCAGCGACAGCAAGCTAAAAGCTGCCTTTGTTAGCGAGAACCCAAATGACCCAAAAACACACATTGACAAAAGGGGGTTCTTCTGTCTAACGGAGACAGCGCTTTGTGGAGAAAGAGTGTCATTGTTTGTAATCTCCCCTTGGAACAATCTAGACAGGATGCCCACGGAGAGCGGCGCTGCTTTCCAGTCGATGAGCTGCTGCCCACTCGCAACTGGGAGGTTGATGGGAGTGAGCAGAGGTAGGGGAGGCCAATGTGACACGAACGCTCAGTAATGTTATGGACGCAGGGGCTAAATATTGGGCTCAGCATGAGAGGAAGGAAAGGGTCTTTTCTCATGTTATAAATATGAATCAACAAAGGCAGCAATAAGGTCCTTCAGCAAGGCTTAAAACTGCTTTTTGTATAGCAGACCGTTCTTCGGCCAGTCTGTTCATGCAGCATGCACTATAGATCTGTTCATGCAGCATGCACTATAGATCTGTTCATGCAGCATGCACTATAGATCTGTTCATGCAGCATGCACTATAGATCTGTTCATACATTTCATTTCTGATCATTTCAGTCCTAGAGGAGGTCCATTTATTCCAAATCTTTAGGAATGCAGTGAATCCACACAATGATCAGGATGCAAACCATCGCAATACAATCTGAATTGTAATCAAATTACAAATAAGTTTCAGCAAGAAGGCTGTATTACCAAAATATCCTCAAGTGTAAAATCAGTTAGAATCAACTATTAATAGTCTATTAATAAAGTGTGATGTTGCTTCAGGTACATAGTAGCTATACACACATGTAGATGATTATACAGCAAGTATGAGTTAATAAATACTTAAAAAATGCTATAACCAAAACAACAACAACAACAAAATTCTTATTGTTGTTGCTGATAAGAAGAATGTTGTTGTTGTTATTATTATTATAAAAACAATATATTCATTCCCAGACGGTGCTGATTTAAAAGGCCTGTGGTCACAGTGGGACTGGTTAATGCAGTGGGAGTAAGGGATAGGGTAACAAGGCAGGCAATACTCTGCACTGGCTGGGCAAATCCCAGGGGGCGCCATTGTGAGGGGACGGGAAAGCGGTGCACTCACTGATCTGACAGCGCTCGCCCGAGGCCTGGAACTGGGCGCAGTCACACAGACCACCTTCCTTGCACCAGCCTCCATTAAGGCAGCTACAGGACTCTGAAAGGGGAGACAGCCGGTCACAACCTGAGACATACGAGTCCGCCGGCGGTGTCCACGGCGACAAAGAGACGCTATGTCTCCGCTTCCATGAGAACCCGCATAACTCCGGCGCCCATTTTGACGCCAGTCCCGCTCCGGCACCAGAGGTCACAAGGTACCCTAGGAGACGCGGGTGCTGGAGAATGTTCCAGACGCATGAACTCCACCCCTGTTGTATCCGGAACCAGAAAATCAGAGAAACACTAGTGGGACACTTGTGCTTCACTGGTCCTAAAGAGGTCACGTCGAGGCGGGTTGGGGGGGCGAGGAGGAAGCGTGTATCTGGGTAAATAAAATGTCACCATTCAGTACTAACATTAAGATCTGGAAGGTTTACCTGTGGAGGCATGGCGGGCAGTGAAGTTATGCAGGATACTTCTCGGCAAGGCGGAGTCAGGAAGCACGGGACTGATGGTCTACAGTATGCAGAGAGGGTTTCCGCTATCAGATTAACAGTAAAAACACTCCTCAGCTTTCAATAAACACCTTACTGCCGGTTCATGTTGCACATGGATAATTAAGGAAGCTGTGTCAGTATGAAGCTCAATGGACTCTATCAGCAGCACGAGCCAGTTGGATGGAAGAATAGAAGGTAATAAGCAGTGGATGATTTTTACAAATATTTCAAGAGGAGTGGTGGAGGTACGGAGGAGGGGCAATGAAAAAATCTGTTGGGGGGAGGGGGACAATTGCTTATTTCAGATTAAACTGTGTTTCTGTCCGGTGCTGCTAGATATTTTGGGCCCCATCATAATGAGCCCCCAACCCAAACCAATCCAATTATGTTCATAATTTTTTCAGGGCCCATGTCACTCAAGGATCTTTCCAATCATCCTGACACCTCCCCCCCCCCTTTTCAACACCCCTGTGTGCACCCCAGATATAGCTGACTGATTTACCTTGATGTGAGTGATAATTAGACAGAACAATTTGGGGGGGGGGGGCTATATTTTCAAAGGGGATGGATTTCATCATTTTCCCCCCTCATAGGGGAACGGCATCCACATGTATCCTGTGTCAACTCAAGCCCTGCTAATAAGTCTAGCTGTAAAGAGTAAGTCAGCCTCCAGTTATCCTTCATATGCTCTTTGGTTCACACACGTCTCCCAGCCCGAAGATGGCAAACCTCGCTGAAAGCTCGTCTGCTACAGACTGGGTGGCAGATCGCTAGTGCACTGTGAGAAAGCACCTGTTAGCTACTGTACCATTTGTGTTTCGTGCACAAAGGGGCCTTTGTGGCCGCAGGGTGCGCCTTAACATTTGGGTTCTCCTGCCCCCCCTCTTTCTCTTAAGTGCACCCACCTCTCCAAGGAGATCTCGTTTCTGTCTGAGGGAGTTAAACCTTCTCCTGAGGGGAACAAATGGAAACCTGTGTTATGTAGAGTTAAGAGGGTAACCACTCTATGGCAGATTCAGGGCTGGGAAAATGTGGACTTTATGTGACAACTTCCAGCTGTCAGTTACTGAGAAAAGACTACTTCAGACATATAGAATTAACTGCTACAAACAAAATGTAGAAACTTCAAGCCTAGTGGTCAGAAATTATAAAGACATTTATCTGTATCTGTAGGAATTCATGCCATCACTCTCAGACAGGGAAAGATGCTGCACTGGTTACCATGACAACAGGAACTTAACATTCCGAGCCCTAGTTGCATTTTACTTATAAATTAAAACATACTGTATATTAATTCCTTTTTTATTTGACCTTTAGGTTTTGGTCTCCAAACTACCCCTCCTGTTTCATACAATACCTCTTTGGCTCAAATGGGGGCTGAAATGTATCATTGTTTAAACTCATAAGTTGTCGTTATGGAAAAAAAATGTGACACATTACTGCTTCCTAAATGTCATGGACAGATCATATAAGCAGCAGCACCGTTTTTAAATATTGTTGTGTTGTTAATGAGCTGTAAACAGATGGATGGATGAATGGATGGAAGGAAGGATGGATGTGATTTTTTTTTTGTCGTTTTAGTAATGGAGCAATTAAATTGGTATTTTTTATGAATAATGTTAGAATTTTATTTCCTTCAAAATATGCATAAATAGAACCATGTATTCTTGCTTTAACGCATAAAGACCCTGACTCATATATTGTAGGGGTAACGTAAACTCAGCTTGGCGCAAGCAACTTATCACCATGTTCTTCATAACTCATAAGGCTTCTCCAAAACCAGCAGAGAGAGAGAGTACCCAGCCTTTCAGGAAAAATGTCTAGCGCCAGCGTTAGTTTTTTCTTTGTAACGTTATGGTGATTCGATATGTCAAAACCGATCATAATATTATAGAATTACAGAATACAACTATAAACTACAGCATTTCTGACACCAGAGTAAAATTAATATTCATTTCAATGTGAATATTTCAAGTCGTGATAATACACAGAATAATGTCCTTACCTTTATATATATATGGTAATGGAACAAGATAAAAAAAAACGTACCTTGGGAATTTACTTTGAGGCTTTGGCGACTGGCAATTAAAACCTAATTGGCGAAGAAACGATATGCAGGTTAAATCATTAACAGAAATTGTCAGTTAAATATACCGACTGATAAATCGATGACCTGCAAAAGAAATGTATGTTTAGTTTAGTAAATGATAATAAATGCAATGAATTAATTTTCCTACGTAATAAAAATGCAGCCATGACAAAAATCTATATAACCTAGAAATGAGTTGCAGGTTGTGTTCGTTTTTCAGATCAGCCCACATATTCAAATATTGCCCACATGCAATTTCCAAATGCCATTTAGTACACAATCGAATTGTGTACATATTTACCAAATTGACACTTGAAATGAAATCACGCTATTTATTCCTACTAGGCCTATATTACTAGGGTACCATTACTACAATGACATTACGGCGCCTTAGCCCGTTAATTACGTATAATTTTGTTACAAAATAAGCCTAATGCGAAATAATTTACGAATATAACTAACATATTATAATAAAAAAAACTACTGCACATAGAAGACGCACCTTGTGACATTGCTATTCCATTCACTACACAAACAAAAAAAATTAAATAACGTTACCTATACGTAAGAAACGCGTATATGACAGAGCGTTTCGCATGGAAATTAAGTATGATGCAGGGAATAGATTAACCAAAAAAGATTCAGCCCAAACATGTTAATAATAGTTAAAATTCTTTGTAAAAGTATGCCCATAAGTAGTTTTATATGTGTTGGAGTACTTGTACTAGGGTATCCGGTGAATATTAGCCTACTTTGTAACTCGAATGACGATAAACACACGTTTAAATAAAACACTAACCCAACTCTCAGTGTAAGGACAATGCGGCTTTTAAATATGAATCGTATAACTGGTGTAATACAGTGACAGCTGAATAAAATGTTTTGTTCAGCTCGGCAACACTGTTAACACGTTATTTGAAAACAAGTCAAATCAGATCCCCAACCTACCGTGAAAAACAAGCAGATGGAAGATTACAACTATCCAAGGAAACAGTAATTTCAAATTCCACTTTATGTTCATTTCAGGGCTGCGTCCAAGTGGAAGTAAAGTATGAAATTATGAGGGCATTTTAGTGCGTTTCTTCGCCGGAGTATTTTCCGAGTCCCAGTTCCGAGGTCTGTGTCGGAAAGAGAAATCCACGCTGGGACACCAAAGTCAGTGGAGTCTCGCAGATCTTCCATGAAATCCCCGCTTTCATTGACATAACAAGGCGCCTTGACCTACACGAGAGGGCTGGATTAGTTACAGCGCCTCACACTGCCGCAGTCTCTGCCTATCGGAAAGCAGCGACCCACTTATCTGTCGAAATAACTGGTGAGGTGTTTGGTGCGATGGTTCAAAATCTTCGCAAGTATTAATTGTGCGTATGGGAGATTCGGTGCTCATTATCGAAATAGAAGGTAGGTCTAAATGAAACAGCAAAAACTATAGATTATTCTAAGGTGCCCGTAAATTCTGCATTCGCAAACTCATAAACTTAACTTTAATCCTTATTCGTAAATATTTTGATTTCGAGAATTTGCCAAAATGATTAATAACCTGTGGTCTTATGGCTTTTCCTAGAAAATCGCGAGCGACACACATTGCCCTTACAAAAATATAAACCATCTTCAATTGACAACGTTAGGCATGACGTTTTCAGCAATCAAACAGGTAGGAATAACTTAAACAAGTTAACCACTGCCCCCTTGCGACAATCGTATTACATCTTTAAATAATGTATACTGTGTAAGTTTCTTAGCATAGTGTATGACTACAGTACAAACGAAGGGTAACCCATCCATCACCAATGTCCGCATATACAGTGCAAGGTCATGGAGAAGCTAGCTATGGCTTTCATGGCAAACTGCACAAGATGGGAAAGTCTGGATGAGATGCCAGCCACACCAAGTTCCTAACTGTGAAAAGAAAGCAAAGCATCCCCCCACCCCCCCCAAAAAAGACACACGAAACACACTTAAAACATTCAAACTCCACACAGAGCAAGGTGGGGATTTTATCACAGAAGCTGTAACAGGTGTGCTATTCCTACTCAGCTAGTATTAAATTGAGATGTTTTTGCAGTGACAAAACATCTAATTTCCCAAAGATTTTATATCCATACATGCAGAAGTAATCCAAGTTAACTGGCCACTGTATTCATATACAAACATTCCATACAAATTCTACATTCACAGATGGGGGCAGCGCATTTATGAAGGACCAGGTGTAGAAAGAGAGATTTACATTTCAATAAATAAAACCTACAAATAAACATGCCTGAGGAAGTTAATAAAACAGGAGACAGCATATTCCTTTGTCCGTTTATTGTGTGAAAATGTACAGAGATTAACGGTAAGACTTCTGGTAGCGCGCACGGGCTCCAGGGCCACCGAACTTCTTGGACTCGCAGCGGCGAGGGTCAGCCACCAGCAGGGTCCTGTCGTACTGGATCAGGATGTCCTTGATCTCTTTCTTGGAGGCCTCGTCCACATCTGCGGAAATAAAAAGGTCAGTCAGCAGCGCCTTACCTAGACAAAAAAAATAAATAAATACATGTGCTCAGGGGGTACTTACATTTCTGGTAGTAGGCAACCAGGGACTTTGAAATGGCCTGACGGATGGCTGGGAAGAAAAAAGGAGAGAGTGATGAAACCCACACGCATCTGCACGGCACTGGCATTACGCAGTTCCCAGTACGGCCAGTGAACTGCTCAGGTTTAGACCCAAGAAAACAGGTATATATAAACGCTGCCTGAGAGACCCCAGCCACCCAGCACTGTCGCTTCTCTCCCTCTTCCCCTCTGGCAAAACTCTTTCCTACACACACACACACACACACTTCCAGATATAGACTGTTTCTTCCCCACTGCAGTATGAGTGTTAAACAGCCAAAGATGTTAACATTTCCTCACACTATTACATCATTTTGTACTGCTGCCATTACACTTATTCTCATGTGTCTTCCATATGCCATTCTATCTATTTTTACCTGCCATTATATACCCCATACTTTAACTATACCCTATTGGTGCTGTCACACTGCTGTCTATTTACGTCTTCATTGCTGCTACATCTTTGTACATATTACTGCCACTCCCACTGTCATTATTTAACTGTGCACATACCAATACCGCCATTCCCAATTATTTAACTGTGCACATACTAATACCGCCATTCACACTTGTATTTATCATTTATGAGTCAGGCTGCAAGGAGACTCAAAAGTACGAATTTCATTGTACTTTAGTACATGCTGTACTTAACACACATGGCAATAAATCTTGGATCTTCAATATCCACACACCCATTTCAGCAATTACAAACCACTGAATATCTTTCGGGTGACTACAAGCCACAATAAGATACATTTACAACAGCCTTGAGCCTGTTGGCATATTATCTTTTTTAACTTGCAGGCTTATAACTGCGTCCCAGAAACAATGATTACAGAATTGACTTCATAGGTGCATATTAACAGAAACAAGTATTTCGCCTCATTTTGAATCAATATACATCTTTAAAAATAGAGATACATGGCGCATTGTCAAACAGACTTCGCTGAAAAGCATTTCACATTTTCACATATTCATCGTGTGCCTTTCGGTTACAGAATTTTCAGTTCGGAACGCCCAATGAAAAATTATTACCTTTCTTGACACAGGTGAAACGTAAGTTCACATGTAGATGTTCAAAATGGAAAGCATTATGCTAACTATGGCTTTCAGTTAGGCTACGTTCACACTGCAGGGCTTAATGCTCAATTCTGATTTGAGCCTTCCAGTTTTGCCTGAACAGATTTATTTCCCCAAATGCTTATTAAATCCAGCACCTCACTGGCCAACTTCTGTGCTCTCCTCCATGTTTGGCACTCTGACGGAGACATATGGTAACTTCTGCCTGCGCAGAATTGTGACCAATGTCGATCGGGAGTGACGTAAAAGTTGCATGAATTCCGATTTCGCTGTTCAGACTGAGGTTGCATTGCAAAAAAATCAGACCTGTATCCGATTTATGACCACATACTGAAGTGGCCCAAATCGCAATTGAAAAAAATGGATTCCATGTGACTTGTGCCATTCACATTGTCATGAAAAAATGCAATGAGTCACATAAGAGCAAAAAATTGGATTTGGGCCACATTTGTCCTGTAATGTGAACGTAGCCCTAGTCACAGCTAGTACTGGAGCACTCAATGACCCTCCCACATCACTTAAATCAGTAGTTTGGGAATATTTTAGCTTCCCAATAAAATTACAGCAACACCGGGGAGAGAGTAGTAGTTGATAAGACTGTCTGACGGTTCTGTTATACCTAACTCGGATATTCTTCTGAAAGCACATCCAACATGCCAAAACATTTTAGACGACACCATTCAAGTGTGTGCTTTTGCCAGGAAATTAAGACCAGGTCTAAAAACAGGGACAGAGATGCCGATGCCTCACAGATACCTGTCAGATATCTAGCAGGCTAAATATCCAGACCTGCTGTCAACTCCAAATCCTGTAGTGTGAAGTGTGGCGACTACCAATAACCAATGAAAAGCAAGACACAGGGTGAGGTAAAACCTGAGGGAGGAGTTTAAAAAAGGTGTAAATCATTCACTTTGATTAGAAACTGTTCTTCGTGTTCAGGGAAGAGGTATAGAGATATTCAATGACAGTTTACATTTCACACACTTGCTGTTAGCTGTGGCTTTAAACTAAGATGGTGCAGGAAAAGTCTCAGCACATGCTTTTTATTCATGACAGCACTGTGCCAAATTCACACAACAGAACCTCAAAATCAGGCAGCGGGCAACTGGTCAAATATTAGCAGTACCAAATGTGAACAACATAATTTCAGTAACCCATGTTAAAACTGATTTTTAGGAATCGATTTTTAACTCACGCAATATTAAAATCACCATATCGAAAAATAGTGATTTGTAAAAGGTTTGATTTCCCGCCCACCCCTATTGCAGAAGCCTTTGCTTGGACCAAGCCCATCCTGAGATCATCAAGAACAGACTGCTCTAAAATCATATCAAGCGGGGGCTCACCATTAGGGCTGCAACTAAAGATTATTTTGATAATCGATTAATCTGTCGATTACTTTTTCGATTAATCGGGGGGGGGGGGATTCAATTTCCAGCAATTTTTAATAACCCAGTCTGTCTTTGTACAAAGGTTGTTTCCAGCAACTCACATAAAAAACAAATGCATGCTACATTAAGAGTATAAAAAGTTTATTTTATATTTTATTATGAAGTGCAACCAGCATGGTGCTTTAGATAATGTATTCAGTACAATGTATTTTTAATGTAAAAGCACAGACTACCGCTGCTGCTACTAAGAATATTATTAAATAATTGTCTAATGTTATTTAATGTTGATATAAGTATGTGACAGGGGGAGAGAGCATGCAAGCGAATGTGTGTCTGCATTTATTATGGACAAAGTGAAATTTATTGCGGAGAAAAAGCCTTTTCCACATTTTACGCTAAAAATGCGCCGGCTTGCACTCTCATGAAACGCCATAGACTTTAGTGACTAAGCGATGTTTCAGCATACTACAGTGATGAACTGTAAATAAGATAAATAACATAAGGCTATTTAGTTTGTTTAATAAAAGGATTAAATGACTTCTGTTGTGATCTGGCACTATATAGAAAATAAAATTAAATGAAATTAACTTGGGGCGCCTCCCTAATAGAAGGGTAGGGTAAACACGTTGTGGTATATGTAGCCACATTTGTAGCCACATAATAGCTGATTGTGTTGACAACCACGACTTCCCCTGCGTTCATTTAAACACATGTTTATGTGTGAAGGGACGGGGCGGGTAACGCGGCTGGCAGTAACGCCATTGGTTGCACTTGAAGTTATTAGTTATCCAATCCAACAGTAAATGGCTCATAAATAAGAATATTCTCAGAGTTGTGGACTCGAAATAAAATCCCGAGTTCATGACATGAACGAGTACAAATACGGCTGATTCAAAGACAAGATCGAGACCTTCAAAAACTGGTCTTACTACAACATTTGACATTACTATAAATTTCTATCATGAAGAAATGAAGCAGTGCTGTAGTGGTAACAAGAAATTTAAGGTGGGTAAACTGTAAAAACGGTGGGTAACTATTTATATCCTTAACATTAGTGATCTCAAAAAAAAAAAAAAGGTGAGTACACGCTTTTTTGTAAATTTAAAAGGTGCGTAAATGGCGTTATGTGCATTTACCCTCCACTACACCACTGAATGAAGGATTTGCGTTAAGTAATCTGAATAATTGCATAAAATATTCCAAAAACTCCACAACGTCACATAATACATCAGTGTCTCTCCGACTCGTATCGTCAAATTATGACTGAATTAAAACAAGACTCTGCTGTGTCCGCCTCCGCCATTTTTTAAACGTTTTTTTTTTTCCAATTCTCCCAGAATTCATCACGTTAGCGACTCAAGGCGGTTGGCATCCAGCTTAATGGTACTTTACTGTCACCGCGGCTTTGGTTAGCTTACCGCTCCCAAATTAGGAGGTAGCCACTGCACTTATGTGCATAATAACATAGACCCAACTAATCGATTATTAAATTAGTTGGCAACTATTTTAATAATCGATTTTAATCGATTAAATCGATTAGTTGTTGCAGCCCTACTCACCATAGATCTGGGCCACGTGGCCACCGCCCTTGACACGCACTCTGATGTCCACGCCAGCAAAGCGCTCTTTACCCAGAAGCAGCAATGGTTCCAGTAGCTGATGGCAGAGGATTTGAGGTGTTAGAAGGGACAAAGTTGCCTCAGAACTTAAACACCACACTGAAAACACTTGTTATGCAGCTACTTCCTTGACGACTGGCATCGCAACACACTATAACAGTCAATAGTCTGTCTAATAGTCAATAGGAGTACGGTGATTTAACACGGGACAATAAATCAGATTTTAACACGATTATCTTTGGTAACGCAATTAGGAGCTGAAACAAGGAAAACACCAATTGATACAATACGATAAATAGCATTTGTGTTAAATTTAAGATCAAGCACAAAAACCATATGACTATACCACTACGGGCAACTCTCAAAGGTCAGCTCAGTCAATCCGACAGACATGGGTCGAAAAAGCTGACAACGGAACCAGAACATGAACTTATCTGTGCTTCAGAAATGTCTGGAATTCTGTGGACCAGCAGTCATTAAAACAACTCTTTGAGATTCAAATATGGCTTCTCCTTAAACTGTACACCAGGGGTGTCCAATCTTATCCGCAAAGGGCCGGTGTGTATGCCGGTTTTCGCTGCAACTCCCTAATTAGATTACTAATTAGAGGACTGATTGGCTGAAGAGTCCTCACACCTGGGTTTGAACAGCTGACCTACAGGTTATATCAAAAAACCTGCATACACACCGGCCCTTTGCGGATAAGATTGGACACCCTGCTGTAGACCCTTACAAACCAGCTTACCTTATACTGGAGAGTGCTTGGCTCAACCATCTCCAAAGGCCTTCCGTTCACCTTAATGAGGCCATTGCCCCGCTTGCAATGAGCAACAGCCGTAGCCGTTTTCTGCAACAAGCAAGACCTTATTAATACCAGTCCCCAAAAACAGCAGCAGCTTCAAGGCGAAGTTTTAAACATGGTTATGCAGCCACTGGCTATTGCGGTACTTAAAACTTGTACGATTTAAGGCGTTTTCTTTAAAAATGAACTGTCTCCTCATGTGTGCAGCAAGGCCTGTGTAAGCGGACAACCCCGGAGTGAAGGTCTTGCAGGATACCCTAAATATAAGCTAGCCCATTTTATTGACCACCCAAAAATCTAAAACCTTTTAAATATTAAAATTTTACAATAACGTTGACTTCAAACGATAATGGTCTATGCTACCCCCAAGCTCACCATGAACTAGGCCGCAAGCCTCCACGCGTCGCGGGAACACGGGAAAATCTTTTAAATTAAGTTGTAGCCGACTTAACCATATTTCAAAACGTGTGAGGAGACGCGTAATATCATACACTGAATACGACATAGACAGCAAAATAGCATAATTTAAATCCAGTGTTGATTATACACGCAGTTCCTATTCAGCTTCGGCTAACTAAAGACATTGCTAAACACGTGAAATAAATGAACTACTTGTACTCACTTTACGTCCAAAAACCTGGACGGATTGCAACGGACCTTTAGCCGGCATGTTTCTAAAATGTAAAAAAAAATCATTGTTATTTTTTAGAACAAAACAATGTGCATTAAAACACGAAATTCTCAAAGTGCATCCACGAAATCATACCAAATCCTGTCTATGTGCTGTAGGAAGAGACCGAAGGGGTTTCAAACCCCGACAATCAGGGGCATGTTTACGACAGTTTGATACCGCTATACGGCACAGGCCATTTGCCATTTTACAGTATTTCGTTTGTCGTTGGAAATATTGCGTGTTTGGAAGTGGGGTGCATTTTTCTTTAAAAAGAAAATATTCACTAATCTTTACAAATTACTGAAAACTTCGAATTGAAGGACAATACTAGAATTAAAAATAAAATGACATCACCCTCAATGATGATATATGTTGCTTATTATTTTATCTACAACGTACCACTTTTCCCATAAAGCATTTTTACATACCGGTGGCGTCTTTACTGTTAGTGATATGACATTTACGAATGATCCGAATCTCTTGAACGCGTCGTAATTGAGAGCCATGAACAGTGAGAACCAGCCAGTTACGAGAGGTGGACGCTGTCGCGCAGATTTCTTAAAAGCTGAATTTGTCTGGTGCTGTTTGTAAGCACAACATTCAAAGTTTTCACATAATTGTTCATCTATCTGAATTGCACTGAAGCTGTTCTACACAAAAGTTCATTATCCTTGTTTTCTAATATAAGTGTTTCATGAATTGATTTCCTACAGAGGATAAATTCAAAGTAGTAGCCCAATCATTGTCGTAGTGATAATTTGGCAGATAAACCTAGTGAGCCCTTTCTTCTAAGTCATTATTCCCATCACTACTGATTAGTTTTATTTTTAAACTGTAGCGAACTAAACAGTTACTACCTGTAGGGGGAGTCCAACACCTCTCGCACGCGCTAGCTCCGTTTGCCTACCGGCATCCTTCTGCCTGCCTCCCTTATTGAAACATTAATCTCTTTCCTGACAGACTCTCTCACTATGGAAGAATTTAATCGAGCACACAAGAACGGTCATGGACGTCAGCCGTGATCCTTTAGAGAGCAATGGAAATCCACAGAGCCAGAAGTAGTGCCTTGCTGAGCTGTAGGCTGAACACAATTATACAGATTTACATTTATAATAGGTTTCACTGGGGGGTGGCATGGTGGTACCGTCATTAGTGCTGTTGCCTCACGCCTCTGGGACTAGGGTTCGAGTCTCCACCCTAGCTCTACAGTATGTGCATGCAGTTTGCATGTTCTACCCATGTCATCATCTTCCCCCCAGCCCCAAAATGTGGTAAGGTTAACTGGAGTTGACAGATTCCCCATAGGTGTAGATATGAATGTGCCCTACAATAGCTTATTCCCTGCCTTGCCCTTGTCATTTCTGAGGCAGGCTCCAGAACACTGTGATCCTGCATAGGGTCAAGCACATAGAGAAATGGATAGATAGCCTTCAATTTTGGGGTTGACAACCCCTCAGTGATGAACCAACAGATGTATTATAGAGGGGTTAAACGCTCTTTCACAGCACATAGATTATTACACCAGTTGAGTAATTTTTGACAAAATGAGGATGGTACATGATGCCAGATTATACTCTGATTTTGTTCGAGTTTCCTACAATGTGGGGTATTACTCATCAGCATAGCAATTTTTCTGCAATGTAGCAGTGCGTCTCCCAAACCTCTGCACATGCAGTCAAGTAACATCTGCCCCTGATGGAATGTAAGCAATCACAAAATCTTCAAGCATAATAATCCACATCCATGGCCATTTTCAAGGGGCAGGCTAACTAAAGGTAGATGTTTATTTAAACCAGGAGTGGAATATGGTGGGTAATTCTGGTTTGGACTCTGTCATGGTTGTGGCGTTCATCTGACGTTATATTTTAAAAGGTAATCTTCTCTGGGTCCCAACACCACATCCTGCCTCATGTCCACTTGCAGTGGGAGAGTAACATACGCATTCACCGCTTGTGTAAACGGCTGTAAATCAAGCAGTCTGGCTCATTTAATTCCTTTCCACAACCAGGTGTCCATTCCGTCTCTGGTAAGTGGTACAATGCTGCCTCACGGTGAGCGATGGAGGGAGATGAGAGTGAGGAGCACTTCAGAGTGAATGTGTCTGATCAGCAGTATCTTCAGGATACTGACATCGTGGAAAAGAATGAGTAAAGCTAAGGAAGCAATAACTGCTGGCCTTTGGTCTAACTGAAAAAGGATTATGTCGTCTGCAGTCTGGAAAATGTCTGTCTTGATGTTGTATGAAGCAGAGGTTTTATTACTGATTAGCTAACTATACACCTGGATGTGCCGTCATGCAGTATGGGCCTTCCACCAAAAGCAGCCTGCTGCAGTGCCAGCCCAGCAGTGACCTCACCCAGTGTGTATAACAGCTCACTGGAGAACCTCCAAAGGGGATGGATACTCTAATTGGATCTAATAAAATAAACAACCAGAAAGCATTATACAACTAACAACTGAACAATTATGATAAGAATCAAATATTTCCATAGAAACATGTAGTACACAAAGCATAATAAACCGCATACTAAAATAACATAAATGCAAAACTTAAATTGTAAGCAAAGTCTAATCTTTTTCAAACCAAAATAAACATGAGAATTTGGCACCCTTAAAAGGACATTTGAATAACTCTATTTCGTGCAAAAAACCTGTCTATGTGTCTGTTGTGGGTTGACAGGCCCTAAGCTTATTACAAGTGATGTTTGGGATGTTGTCTTCAGGGTGAGGGACTTTTGAACTGCCCACAAGCTACCCCACTCAGCTTACCTTTTATAAAGAGAAGTAGTGTACATCAGTCACCCTAAGAAAGGCTATAAAATATTTAGTTTTCGAATGACTCAACTCAATAAATATACTGATCTCATTAGCAAGATGGAACGTACAAACAGATTTTTGAAACACTAACCCAAATACACAGAAGTGTTTTTCCTGAATTCTTTCGAAGGGCAGTAAGAAAAGACCAATAAAAAAACAAGAAATAAAGTGAAATACATTGGATTGTTCCAGCGCTTTGAAGGTAAGCCCCTTTCCCATACCCGAGTTCTTGGATATCATCTGTCCTGAAGGTAAGCCCAGCTGTTTGCTCTGGAGACCTATCTTAGGATTGGCATTTTGAGATCGCACCCTCTATAGGTGGTTTTGATGATGACACCCTATTCTCATCTGGCCACATCATTCCCCCTTTTCAACATCTGTTTTAGGAGTACAAGCAGCTGGGTTTAAAACGTACAAAACATTTTTGTTATGTTGCAGGATTTTTTGGAATGTAAGAAAAATATAGCTTAAAATTGTTTAAAATTATTGTTATTATTGTTTAAAATCAGGTCTTACAATGTCAAAGATAAAAATGGAGGACAGACAATTGTAATTTGTTTGTATATCTTTTTTTTCTTCTTGGGTCACTTCCTGTTGTGTCATGTTGTTTTAGGTCACAAGGTGATCTTTCCCTTCTGCAGCTGCACAGTGAGACGATGCTTTAAGGAAACTGGGGAAGGGAACATAAACAGTTTGCTGCATATTCATTTGTCCACTGCACTGGGACTGCTGTTCACACGGGTCACACGGGGGGGGGGGGGGGGAGTCCTATATGCCTGTCCTCATTCCCATGATTCATCCCGGTGCTGTGGGACACTGTCTAGGAATACAGAAGAAGAAAGTAGCTCCATCTTCCTCATCTGCCTCCCCATTCCTCAGGCATATAGACATGACCAGTCGTTATTAACGAGGCAGCGAATCAGGTGCTCCTAATGTCAGGCTCGAGAACTGGCCCTGCTTCTTGGTGCTCTTAATGTCCATGGGATTAATTATTAGAAGTGTTACTATGTCCGGGGACCTTTTTTGACAGCAGGTCTTCAAGAAGACTTGACATGGCGGTTGAGAGCATGCAGTATATCGGACTGAGACAAATATGGAAAGTATACGAGCGATGCGGCTGTTGGATAGAGAAGCACAGTGCCTGCTGTTCGCCTTGGGGCATTACAGAGACATGGCCATTCTGGGCAAGGTGAAGACCCATCATATCTTGGGAATCTGTATACAGTGGTATGACTCATCCGAATATATTCAGTGCCAACCTGTTCCTGACGTTTCCAGCGAGGGAACCATGTTTACAGTAGCCGACAGGCACCTGGCTTCCATTATTGTCAGGGAGATGTCCCTCTTTTTGCCCCCACCCCCAATCCTGAGTGCTGTTTTCACTCACCCCCACCCCTCTTCAGGCCGGCTGTGACCCCTGGTTGGCTCCAGAACCCCCCCCCCCCCCCCCCGTCTGGTACCCACCGTCTCCTGTTCCTCTCCTTCATCGGTATTGATTGACTTGCAGCCTGTGTTCTTTTTATAGACTCTCTGTTACAAGCCTTAAGGCCGAGACCATATGTCTTATTTATTCGTTATTTATTTTTCATGCCGCGGGCCCCCGTCTTACCCGAGCGAGCAGCCCCATCAGCTGGTGAGTAAAGGGGGGATTCATGTCAATCAGTAAGTGACCAGCAGATAAGGGGGTGGGGGTGTAAACAGTCACGGCCAAGGTCGGACCTATACACTGGCTAACCTGGGCTGTAACAAAGGGCCCTCAGTTGTAGGGGCCCCCAGTTTTTTTCATAGTTATTATAGCAGCATTTTATGCAGTTGGCGGGGCCCCAACAATGACTTTAGCCCAGGGGCTACCATCCCCCTAAATTCAGCCCTAGTCATAGCAACAAACACACAGAGATCTAATGCTTTCACCACTTTCTGGTTATCCATACCCTCTCAAGGTCCCTACACTGTCTACATTCTCAAAAATCAGGTAACAGAATAAAAAAAAAAAAGAATGAATGAATGAACAAATTAATAAATGAATGAATGAATACCATATACAGTATGCACATGTCCATCCCAGTGACTGACAGGAGCTCACCATCATGTGATGGAAGTCCAACCTTGCCTTGCTAGTGTATCATCAACTTTGAGGAGACAGATTTAGAACATTTGGATGGCTTTAGGTTAACACCGTCCATTTTACCATACTAGGTATTGCAGCAGAGCACTCTGGCTGGTAACTGTCTTTCCTCTGTGCCCCAGGTCTACTAAGGCATGGGGGCGGGTTGTGGGTTGTGAGGGATACAGTAGTGTGGTTACCATGGGAATGAGGAAGCACACCTTGGGGGCTGATTCTTGACATGAGCATAG